TGAATGGTGTATAGCAACTGTGACTAGTTCAGAGTATATTGAATGGTGTATAGCAACTGTGACTAGTTCAGAGTATAATGGTGTATAGCAACTGTGACTAGTTCAGAGTATATTGGTGTATAGCAACTGTGACTAGTTCAGAGTATATTGAATGGTGTATAGCAACTGTGACTAGTTCAAAGTATAATGGTGTATAGCAACTGTGACTAGTTCAGAGTATATTGAATGGTGTATAGCAACTGTGACTAGTTCAAAGTATAATGGTGTATAGCAACTGTGACTAGTTCAGAGTATATTGGTGTATAGCAACTGTGACTAGTTCAGAGTATAATGGTGTATAGCAACTGTGACTAGTTCAGAGTATAATGGTGTATAGCAACTGTGACTAGTTCAAAGTATAATGGTGTATAGCAACTGTGACTAGTTCAGAGTATATTGAATGGTGTATAGCAACTGTGACTAGTTCAAAGTATAATGGTGTATAGCAACTGTGACTAGTTCAGAGTATATTGAATGGTGTATAGCAACTGTGACTAGTTCAAAGTATAATGGTGTATAGCAACTGTGACTAGTTCAAAGTATAATGGTGTATAGCAACTGTGACTAGTTCAGAGTATATTGAATGGTGTATAGCAACTGTGACTAGTTCAAAGTATAATGGTGTATAGCAACTGTGACTAGTTCAGAGTATATTGAATGGTGTATAGCAACTGTGACTAGTTCAGAGTATATTGAATGGTGTATAGCAACTGTGACTAGTTCAGAGTATAATGGATGGTGTATAGCAACTGTGACTAGTTCAGAGTATAATGGATGGTGTATAGCAACTGTGACTAGTTCAGAGTATATTGAATGGTGTATAGCAACTGTGACTAGTTCAGAGTATATTGAATGGTGTATAGCAACTGTGACTAGTTCAAAGTATAATGGTGTATAGCAACTGTGACTAGTTCAGAGTATAATGGATGGTGTATAGCAACTGTGACTAGTTCAGAGTATAATGGTGTATAGCAACTGTGACTAGTTCAGAGTATATTGAATGGTGTATAGCAACTGTGACTAGTTCAGAGTATAATGGATGGTGTATAGCAACTGTGACTAGTTCAGAGTATATTGAATGGTGTATAGCAACTGTGACTAGTTCAGAGTATAATGGATGGTGTATAGCAACTGTGACTAGTTCAGAGTATAATGGTGTATAGCAACTGTGACTAGTTCAGAGTATAATGGTGTATAGCAACTGTGACTAGTTCAAAGTATATTGAATGGTGTATAGCAACTGTGACTAGTTCAGAGTATAATGGATGGTGTATAGCAACTGTGACTAGTTCAGAGTATAATGGTGTATAGCAACTGTGACTAGTTCAGAGTATAATGGTGTATAGCAACTGTGACTAGTTCAGAGTATAATGGTGTATAGCAACTGTGACTAGTTCAGAGTATAATGGATGGTGTATAGCAACTGTGACTAGTTCAGAGTATATTGAATGGTGTATAGCAACTGTGACTAGTTCAGAGTATATTGAATGGTGTATAGCAACTGTGACTAGTTCAGAGTATATTGAATGGTGTATAGCAACTGTGACTAGTTCAGAGTATAATGGATGGTGTATAGCAACTGTGACTAGTTCAAAGTATAATGGTGTATAGCAACTGTGACTAGTTCAGAGTATATTGAATGGTGTATAGCAACTGTGACTAGTTCAAAGTTATTGTAGAGGATACCAAGTACACACTGCAATCCTTGTAGTATGTCTCAAGTGGTGGAATCATATAAGTGCGATTTGAGTCATGACCAGCAAGTGGTGTTAATATCTCAATCAGCAAATCGTTCATTTATTGTATTGGATTCAGATTTTTTATCACCAGAATCATGTAATCCTGTAATTGTGTAATGACCCTGATCACCAATAATAACATGTGTAGTAGCTTTTGTTTAATGCAGATAATTTTAATTTTGTTCTAGTTAACATACTTCTACATAACACCATGTTTTGCCACATAATAAGAAAATGCCACCTGTGATAGTCAAGGATTTATTCTTCCATAAATAATTATTTTGATATACATGTACAATTGTATCAATCTAAGAATATATACACCATGACAAATTTCATCATCAATGTAGTGTACATCTGCCATGATAACACATTCTAAATGTTGGCCATTTGGCTTGCATTTTATTTTCTTTAAAAACTGTCTAAAATCTCTTAAATTTATTCAACATAAATACCAATGTATTTTACCCAAGATATTCATACAATAAAATCCTGGCTGTGAAACAAAATCAGGCAAATGATGAAAAACGTTTCTCTATTTAGATGGGATTACATAAAATTTTGCTGTATAACAGCAAGGTGGTTGTCTGCTGGACTGGCTTCCATGCTAATTAGTCAGAATCTATTCAATGGCATCATGTATATACGGTATAAATTTTGTATATAGAAATTAAAGCAAATAATTATACCATACAGAACTATTGCACATCATGAACAGTAACAATAATCAGTAAAATAAATGTGCTGTAAAAGTATAAAACTCCCTGTCAAAGCCATTGTCACAACATAAAGGGAGACCAATCTTTATCACTAAGGAGTGTTCTGTAGCAAACACAGTATAAAAAGACAGAGTCAGATTATGCTAGGAGACCCTGTCTACCCTACTCGTGTGTTGAATTGGTCGATTTTATCCCTGAATTTGTGGCAGCCTCCATAAATACCTTTCAATGTAACAACAAAAGATGATTTAAAAGTTCTTATTGTGGTTCTAAATAAAATTTGTAATAAGCTGCTGTTTTGGTGACCTCTCTTGTCAGGAATATGATTCTCTATCGATTTTAAATTTTTTTGAAATTGAAAGGTTTCTGTGGTGTAATAAGTCTGACAGTAACATATCTTACCAACTATCACAAACATAAACGTTCTGACACATGCCATCATTTGTTACTTTGGAAAATAAAAAAGGCTGAATAAAACTGTCCACTAATGCTAGACAAGAGCACTTAAGATATCAAATACAGAGATATGCACCACGGATATAAATTACACACTCAACAGAACAAAACAAAGGATAAATCATCAAACAATAAAAACAAAGAGTGGCTACCTGGTGAAAACAGTAATGTCTCTTAAACCATATATCATCTCATTCAGGATATCGTACACCAGTGATAATAGTCTTATGATAAAGTTGCAGTTGGACAGTCCAAGACTTCCATTTTATTTGAAACAGATTACTGAATAAAAAGCAACCTCAAACCTGTACTCGTGCCTGTAACTAGTTATGTACTTGTGCCCATTAACAAGTAAATGTACTTCTGCCTTTTAACTAGAATGGTACTGTGCCTTTAAAACAGTAATATCTCATAAACCAAACATCATCTATTCAGGAAATCCTACACCTGCAGTTGGAACTTCCATCCTATTTGAAACAGATAAATTAATAAAAGGCAGCATCAAATTTGTACTTGTGTCTATTAACTAGTAATGAAATTGTAGCTTTCATCGAGTAAAGTACTCAAGTCTTTCCACTAGTAATGTACTAGAACCTTTCATCGAGTAAGGTACTCAAGTCTTTCCACTAGTAATGTACTAGAACCTTTCATCGAGTAAGGTACTCAAGTCTTTCCACTAGTAATGTACTAGAACCTTTCTCGAGTAAGGTACTCAAGTCTTTTCACTGGTAATGTACTAGAACCTTTCATCGAGTAAGGTACTCAAGTCTTTCCACTAGTAATGTACTAGAACCTTTCTCGAGTAAGGTACCCAAGTCTTTCCACTAGTAATGTACTAGAACCTTTCATCGAGTAAGGTACTCAAGTCTTTCCACTAGTAATGTACTAGAACCTATCTTGAGTAAGGTACTCAAGTCTTTCCACTAGTAATGAAATTGTAGCTTTCATCGAGTAAGGTACTCAAGTCTTTCCACTAGTAATGTACTAGAACCTTTCATCGAGTAAGGTACTCAAGTCTTTCCACTAGTAATGTACTAGAACCTTTCTCGAGTAAGGTACTCAAGTCTTTCCACTAGTAATGTACTAGAACCTTTCTTGAGTAAGGTACTCAAGTCTTTCCACTAGTAATGAAATTGTAGCTTTCATCGAGTAAGGTACTCAAGTCTTTCCACTAGTAATGTACTAGAACCTTTCATCGAGTAAGGTTCTCAAGTCTTTCCACTAGTAATGTACTAGAACCTTTCTCGAGTAAGGTACTCAAGCCTTTTTACTAGTAATGTACTACAACCTTTCATCGAGTAAGGTACTCAAGTCTTTCCACTAGTAATGTACTAGAACCTTTCATCGAGTAAGGTACTCAAGCCTTTTTACTAGTAATGTACTAGAACCTTTCATCGAGTAAGGTACTCAAGTCTTTCCACTAGTAATGTACTAGAACCTTTCTCGAGTAAGGTACTCAAGTCTTTTCACTAGTAATGTACTAGAACCTTTCATCGAGTAAGGTACTCAAGTTTTTCCACTAGTAATGTACTAGAACCTTTCTCGAGTAAGGTACTCAAGTCTTTCCACTAGTAATGTACTAGAACCTTTCTCGAGTAAGGTACTCAAGTCTTTCCACTAGCAATGTACTAGAACCTTTCTCGAGTAAGGTACTCAAGTCTTTTCACTAGCAATGTACTAGAACCTTTCTCGAGTAAGGTACTCAAGTCTTTTCACTAGCAATGTACTAGAACCTTTCTCGAGTAAGGTACTCAAGTCTTTCCACTAGTAATGTACTAGAACCTTTCTCGAGTAAGGTACTCAAGTCTTTCCACTAGTAATGTACTAGAACCTTTCTCGAGTAAGGTACTCAAGTCTTTCCACTAGTAATGTACTAGAACCTTTCTCGAGTAAGGTACTCAAGTCTTTTCACTAGTAATGTACTAGAACCTTTCTCGAGTAAGGTACTCAAGTCTTTTCACTAGTAATGTACTAGAACCTTTCTCGAGTAAGGTACTCAAGTCTTTCCACTAGTAATGTACTAGAACCTTTCATCGAGTAAGGTACTCAAGTCTTTCCACTAGTAATGTACTAGAACCTTTCATCGAGTAAGGTACTCAAGTCTTTCCACTAGTAATGTACTAGAACCTTTCTCGAGTAAGGTACTCAAGTCTTTCCACTAGTAATGTACTAGAACCTTTCATCGAGTAAGGTACTCAAGTCTTTCCACTAGTAATGTACTAGAACCTTTCTCGAGTAAGGTACCCAAGTCTTTCCACTAGTAATGTACTAGAACCTTTCATCGAGTAAGGTACTCAAGTCTTTCCACTAGTAATGTACTAGAACCTATCTTGAGTAAGGTACTCAAGTCTTTCCACTAGTAATGAAATTGTAGCTTTCATCGAGTAAGGTACTCAAGTCTTTCCACTAGTAATGTACTAGAACCTTTCATCGAGTAAGGTACTCAAGTCTTTCCACTAGTAATGTACTAGAACCTTTCTCGAGTAAGGTACTCAAGTCTTTCCACTAGTAATGTACTAGAACCTTTCTTGAGTAAGGTACTCAAGTCTTTCCACTAGTAATGAAATTGTAGCTTTCATCGAGTAAGGTACTCAAGTCTTTCCACTAGTAATGTACTAGAACCTTTCATCGAGTAAGGTACTCAAGTCTTTCCACTAGTAATGTACTAGAACCTTTCTCGAGTAAGGTACTCAAGTCTTTCCACTAGTAATGTACTAGAACCTTTCATCGAGTAAGGTACTCAAGTCTTTCCACTAGTAATGTACTAGAACCTTTCTCGAGTAAGGTACCCAAGTCTTTCCACTAGTAATGTACTAGAACCTTTCATCGAGTAAGGTACTCAAGTCTTTCCACTAGTAATGTACTAGAACCTATCTTGAGTAAGGTACTCAAGTCTTTCCACTAGTAATGAAATTGTAGCTTTCATCGAGTAAGGTACTCAAGTCTTTCCACTAGTAATGTACTAGAACCTTTCATCGAGTAAGGTACTCAAGTCTTTCCACTAGTAATGTACTAGAACCTTTCTCGAGTAAGGTACTCAAGTCTTTCCACTAGTAATGTACTAGAACCTTTCTTGAGTAAGGTACTCAAGTCTTTCCACTAGTAATGAAATTGTAGCTTTCATCGAGTAAGGTACTCAAGTCTTTCCACTAGTAATGTACTAGAACCTTTCATCGAGTAAGGTTCTCAAGTCTTTCCACTAGTAATGTACTAGAACCTTTCTCGAGTAAGGTACTCAAGCCTTTTTACTAGTAATGTACTACAACCTTTCATCGAGTAAGGTACTCAAGTCTTTCCACTAGTAATGTACTAGAACCTTTCATCGAGTAAGGTACTCAAGCCTTTTTACTAGTAATGTACTAGAACCTTTCATCGAGTAAGGTACTCAAGTCTTTCCACTAGTAATGTACTAGAACCTTTCTCGAGTAAGGTACTCAAGTCTTTTCACTAGTAATGTACTAGAACCTTTCATCGAGTAAGGTACTCAAGTTTTTCCACTAGTAATGTACTAGAACCTTTCTCGAGTAAGGTACTCAAGTCTTTCCACTAGTAATGTACTAGAACCTTTCTCGAGTAAGGTACTCAAGTCTTTCCACTAGCAATGTACTAGAACCTTTCTCGAGTAAGGTACTTAAGTCTTTTCACTAGCAATGTACTAGAACCTTTCTCGAGTAAGGTACCCAAGTCTTTTCACTAGCAATGTACTAGAACCTTTCTCGAGTAAGGTACTCAAGTCTTTCCACTAGTAATGTACTAGAACCTTTCTCGAGTAAGGTACTCAAGTCTTTCCACTAGTAATGTACTAGAACCTTTCTCGAGTAAGGTACTCAAGTCTTTCCACTAGTAATGTACTAGAACCTTTCTCGAGTAAGGTACTCAAGTCTTTTCACTAGTAATGTACTAGAACCTTTCTCGAGTAAGGTACTCAAGTCTTTTCACTAGTAATGTACTAGAACCTTTCTCGAGTAAGGTACTCAAGTCTTTCCACTAGTAATGTACTAGAACCTTTCATCGAGTAAGGTACTCAAGTCTTTCCACTAGTAATGTACTAGAACCTTTCATCGAGTAAGGTACTCAAGTCTTTCCACTAGTAATGTACTAGAACCTTTCTCGAGTAAGGTACTCAAGTCTTTCCACTAGTAATGTACTAGAACCTTTCATCGAGTAAGGTACTCAAGTCTTTCCACTAGTAATGTACTAGAACCTTTCTCGAGTAAGGTACCCAAGTCTTTCCACTAGTAATGTACTAGAACCTTTCATCGAGTAAGGTACTCAAGTCTTTCCACTAGTAATGTACTAGAACCTATCTTGAGTAAGGTACTCAAGTCTTTCCACTAGTAATGAAATTGTAGCTTTCATCGAGTAAGGTACTCAAGTCTTTCCACTAGTAATGTACTAGAACCTTTCATCGAGTAAGGTACTCAAGTCTTTCCACTAGTAATGTACTAGAACCTTTCTCGAGTAAGGTACTCAAGTCTTTCCACTAGTAATGTACTAGAACCTTTCTTGAGTAAGGTACTCAAGTCTTTCCACTAGTAATGAAATTGTAGCTTTCATCGAGTAAGGTACTCAAGTCTTTCCACTAGTAATGTACTAGAACCTTTCATCGAGTAAGGTTCTCAAGTCTTTCCACTAGTAATGTACTAGAACCTTTCTCGAGTAAGGTACTCAAGCCTTTTTACTAGTAATGTACTACAACCTTTCATCGAGTAAGGTACTCAAGTCTTTCCACTAGTAATGTACTAGAACCTTTCATCGAGTAAGGTACTCAAGCCTTTTTACTAGTAATGTACTAGAACCTTTCATCGAGTAAGGTACTCAAGTCTTTCCACTAGTAATGTACTAGAACCTTTCTCGAGTAAGGTACTCAAGTCTTTTCACTAGTAATGTACTAGAACCTTTCATCGAGTAAGGTACTCAAGTCTTTCCACTAGTAATGTACTAGAACCTTTCTCGAGTAAGGTACCCAAGTCTTTCCACTAGTAATGTACTAGAACCTTTCATCGAGTAAGGTACTCAAGTCTTTCCACTAGTAATGTACTAGAACCTATCTTGAGTAAGGTACTCAAGTCTTTCCACTAGTAATGAAATTGTAGCTTTCATCGAGTAAGGTACTCAAGTCTTTCCACTAGTAATGTACTAGAACCTTTCATCGAGTAAGGTACTCAAGTCTTTCCACTAGTAATGTACTAGAACCTTTCTCGAGTAAGGTACTCAAGTCTTTCCACTAGTAATGTACTAGAACCTTTCTTGAGTAAGGTACTCAAGTCTTTCCACTAGTAATGAAATTGTAGCTTTCATCGAGTAAGGTACTCAAGTCTTTCCACTAGTAATGTACTAGAACCTTTCATCGAGTAAGGTTCTCAAGTCTTTCCACTAGTAATGTACTAGAACCTTTCTCGAGTAAGGTACTCAAGCCTTTTTACTAGTAATGTACTACAACCTTTCATCGAGTAAGGTACTCAAGTCTTTCCACTAGTAATGTACTAGAACCTTTCATCGAGTAAGGTACTCAAGCCTTTTTACTAGTAATGTACTAGAACCTTTCATCGAGTAAGGTACTCAAGTCTTTCCACTAGTAATGTACTAGAACCTTTCTCGAGTAAGGTACTCAAGTCTTTTCACTAGTAATGTACTAGAACCTTTCATCGAGTAAGGTACTCAAGTTTTTCCACTAGTAATGTACTAGAACCTTTCTCGAGTAAGGTACTCAAGTCTTTCCACTAGTAATGTACTAGAACCTTTCTCGAGTAAGGTACTCAAGTCTTTCCACTAGCAATGTACTAGAACCTTTCTCGAGTAAGGTACTCAAGTCTTTTCACTAGCAATGTACTAGAACCTTTCTCGAGTAAGGTACTCAAGTCTTTTCACTAGCAATGTACTAGAACCTTTCTCGAGTAAGGTACTCAAGTCTTTCCACTAGTAATGTACTAGAACCTTTCTCGAGTAAGGTACTCAAGTCTTTTCACTAGTAATGTACTAGAACCTTTCTCGAGTAAGGTACTCAAGTCTTTCCACTAGTAATGTACTAGAACCTTTCTCGAGTAAGGTACTCAAGTCTTTTCACTAGTAATGTACTAGAACCTTTCTCGAGTAAGGTACTCAAGTCTTTTCACTAGTAATGTACTAGAACCTTTCTCGAGTAAGGTACTCAAGTCTTTCCACTAGTAATGTACTAGAACCTTTCATTGAGTAAGGTACTCAAGTCTTTTCACTAGTAATGTACCTGTACCTTTTAACGAGTAACGTACTAGAACCTTTTAACCTCATAAACCATACATCTCATTCAGGATATCGTAAACAAATTAAGATAGCCTTCTGAGAAATTGCAGTTGGACAGTTCAAGACTTCCATTCTATTTGAAACAGATTAATGGATAAAAAATAACCTCAAACCTTCCCTTGCATTCAATGATATTGTGATAGAATCTGAGATGATAACTAGAAGTCTGAACATTCCATCAATACACTAACAAATACAAAGCAATACAGTAAGATTAACACATTCTACCATCTCAATATCATTGCCTACATTCTCTAGGTATTAAATATCTCACTATTCTAAATACGTTATTTACTTCTAGAGCAAATATTCTGCTTTGTTCACTTCTAGTACAAATATTCTGTTTTGGTTGTATTCTAAGACTTAAAGTAAAAACAATTATAAGATCTAGTAGACAGTAAACAATGGGATCTATTCCCTTAACCATTGAAAAACCATTTTATATGAGAAGGTCATTCTATTTTTTGTTTGTGATAAACGAGTTCCTAGGTGAAATATATCTATATCTATTATACTGAACTATTTACTCAATACTTTTTATGTAGATGTCGACTTGATAATCACATTTCTGAATTCTCAATAGATAACTACAGATGAGCGGTTCATGTTATTTTAAAAATACTAACTGTACAATTCTTATGGTTGCCAAACAACTTATCTCAAAAATATTACTTGTGCATAATTTTCTACACACCTCTAAGTGTTTTTTTAAGTTTACATGCTTTTATCAACACCTCAAAAACACATGGTGAAAAATCAAGAATACGACAGCTTGCAGACATTACTTTGATCCAATGGAAATATGTAGCTGCTATAGTCAAGTTTTCAACATTTAAACAACTAAAAACTTCAGCCTCAGTTATCAGACAAGATAGTGAGATGTCGCCGACACTAAGTACATAGACGTATGTTTATAACTAGTGAGATGTTACTGACACTAAGTACATAGACGTATGTTTATAACTAGTGGGCTGTTACTGACACTAAGTACATACACGTATGTTAATAGCTAGCGAGATGTTTCTGACACTAAGTACATACACGTATGCTAATAACTAGCGAAATGTTTCTGACACTAAGTACATACACATATGTTAATAACTAGTGAGCTGTTTCTGACACTAAGTACATATACTAGCGAAATGTTTCTGACACTAAGTACATACACATATGTTAATAACTAGTGAGCTGTTTCTGACACTAAGTACATATACATATGTTATTAACTAGCTCCCAATACTTTAAGGTAATAGTTCTACATGTACTAAACCATGAAACAATCACTAACCTATATAACAATGCCCAATTAAGCAGAAATAACTTGACAGGACTTGCTCTGTATCAAAGGGAGACTACCCGACAAGAAGGATTTCTTAATGATTAAATGCCATTTGTCTCAACACGTGGTCAATATAAATAAACAAGTGCAGGGGAAATGAAAAGACAGAAGTGAAATTGCCTAAAACAGCCATTATTTACTGGGTATTTAAAAATGAAAGAAAAACTCATACAAGTGCATTTTTCAGATTTCTAACTTGTCCAAAAAAAAGTCTGACAAAAATATCATCACTAACAACAAGGTTTGATAACCTCGCTATATCTGGTTTTCCTTACAGGAATTTTTGTACAGATATAATGGTTATTTTCCAGGACAAATTCGAAAAAATATCAAATTTAGCTATGTCTCCTGAATAACTCTTGATACTTGAACACTTTTTCAAAAGTGTATGTAATATAATTTGTTATCAAGTACTATACATGTTCCTGCATGCACTAACATGTGTCCAGACTTAGTTCTGAATGAAGTGTACCTAAGTACAATTTCTGAGCTACAGAGATACAAGACCATGGAACCATTAGTTATTCACCCAACCAACACCTTTGTTAAGTAACAAAATGTACTAAATATTTCAGGAATGAAGAACTACAAACACTACATTACACATCTGCCATAAACTTTGTGGCAAAGGTTGGAAAAAACGGAAAACCTTACAAAGGTCGGAAAAATATAACCTTTACAAAGGTTGGAAAAACGAAACAATTACGAAGTAGTAAGAGAGTAATCCTATCAATGCAAAGAGCATTCACGGTAAGTTTCATCAATTAAAAATACAGAAGCTTCTAGAAATATCTTATTTTTTCATAATTTATAGAGACTTAATCTTAATTTTTAGTGCATGTTATTAAAACTAACTCCACTAAAACTTAACAAGTAAGTTTCAGTGAAACTGGCCATTTGTTTACTACAGAATAGACCAGAAAAGTTCTTAATGAAAGTACAAATGTTGACTTAGTTAAATTTGCAATGAATTACCTTGAAATTCAATGCAGCTCAATAGTTTGACATAACAAAGATCTGTAGAACATTTCTTCAAAATCCATCAAGAACAACCCCATATACAGCAGGTAAAAATTAATGGATGAATGGACTTGATGATGTTGATATTTGCGGCGGGCATTTGAAAATGAAGACAAAAAACGAACAAAAAAATGACAATGACATGAAATATTGAAGTAATCCGAATAAATACCAGCTGCTATGTGAACAGCTCCCTAATCCTACTACGTGATAAATGACCAATTACATACATACAGTATTAAGTATATCACAGATGAAAGACAAATCGGAAATTGGACAATTCAAAACAGAGATAATGACCAACAATACCACACACCAAATCATTTGCACATGCAAGCAAATCTTACAGCATTTTCCAATCAAAACACTATGTGATTGTAATAGTGTGAAAAACCAGGAATCTACAGACATTACAGAGGTACAGTAGATGTTAAAGGATTACTGGTGTGCAATAATGAAGGCCAGTATCTATGTGCAGTGCAAAAAGTTGCTGTAGCCAGACTCGTACGTGATTACTGAGAATTGGGTAAGAGTCCCTAACCTGCTTTAATGTTCAAAAATAACAGCTCAAACTTTCAACTTTTTCTGATTTACTGCAACTTTTAAAACATGCTCTGCTTGACAAAATCTGTATCATCCCATCAACAGCGTGTTGAAAAATTTGAACACCCTAAAACACAAATATTGATAATTAGTGTGCATTTCTCCATGAACCTGGCCTCATGTTCAAGATACAGTTCTCAACAACTGTTATGAACCAACGTTGCACCACAACACTTGTACATGCAGTGTAGTGACTTAAAACAAATCTGTGGAATGGTTAAGCATACAGCCTGGAGGCTATGAGGTGAACGTGATGACCTTAGAATTTTGTGACTAGGAATTCCTGATAACTATATTTGGTCTGGAGTATGTTATCAGTCATGGACAGAAACAACAGGATGGCAGTATGGCACCAACGAACACACAAAGATGCTGAAGTAATGCATGGAAATGTTTGCTACCATTAAGGAAAGACAACTATTCCTGGCAATTTCTGCCAAATAAAAATGATTGTTCTCATGATTTATCACTTGTATGTTGCATTAGTTTAGCATAATTCAAAACTTCTATCTATTAATGATTCATCACGGAAGGTAAGTAAACTACAGTATTTCATGAGACATTACTAGAAATTACTTATTTAACACATACATAAATATACATGTTACAAAAAATATCGGAACGAATGTGCAACGGTTGTGAGTTGTGAGATCTCTACTTTATCCTGTCACATTTTGGGGATTGCGTTCTATGAGATCCACCGTGAGTTGAACCCCGATAGTTGCCTGTTGCATGTTGGTGTCCTGCTGCCCTTGCTGTCCTATCCAGGGGAGGTCACCTGAGTTAGTGTTGCTAGGTTGCCACGATGGCGATTATCAATATCATACACTGGACTGTGTCATGTCCGGATCTGCTACATACTTACCTGTAAGTGAAAGACAATATTTAGTGTTTATTCTACAGGACTTGTAAATATTGCATATCATGATATTTCTAAGTGCTTATGCAGTGCAATTTCCCCAAACTGATGCTTCTCAAAACCAGTCATCTCTTGAAACCAAACAAAATGGCCATGTATAGAATGACGTCCTCTTTATTAAAGTAATAAAAACTTTCCCAATACTGATCCCTCTCAATTCCTAATACCGAAACGATTTTGTGTCCGAAATGATTGAAATATGCGGAAAATCATTTCTGAAAACTGGCCTTTACTAAACGATCACAACCAGCGTACTGTGAAATCAAAACCTGTGGTGACAGTTGTAAGCTTTGTGCTCCTCAGCCCATATGCCTGTCACTGTTAGGCTTTGTACACAATTCCCACCCTGATTGGGTGGATTATAATAAACATAATGTTAATTAACGATATTGAATGAACCCATTGTTTCACCTTAGCGAGAAACGGACACAAATAAAGTGAAAATAAAGACTGATGCGGAGTTCAAAACTGCAGATAAGCATCTCAATTGTGGGCGATCAAATAATGTTATTTTAACAGCTATAGAATGGAAATATTAATCAAATGTTGTCTTAGAAGAAAAATTTTTATACTGATCAACAAAAACACATATTCATCAAATACATTGGTTGGTAGCAGTTTCGGACAAGCTGACCATCTGACTGGGGCTACTCAGGCTGTAGGTAACGTTATGTTACTTCCAAGATTACCGGGCAATGCATAGATTTCTAGATTTCTTTTAGAATTAAGTCACAAATAGCATACAAGTCTCACCATTTTTTTCATTTAAATTTTGAGGTTTAGAATAGATGAGTGACCTCCATTTGCTGTATCAATATAATGAATCAATAGATGTAATGTTAAAATGATTAACTGGTACTACATATGTCTGATTTAGAGAATATTTTATGACCTTGACCTTGTGACCAAGATTTTGAAACCTGCACACAACATTCATACCTGCACCAAAGCGTTTCTTTGACATGGAGATCCTGTAGCCATTGCCTACTAACTCAAAGTCTATCCCTGACAGTGAGGCCCCCTCTGATATAAAACTCATGGCAGTTGTAGTGGGTTTTGAGGGGCCTGCTTTGAGGTTAAATTTGGCTCGTATACTTCCAGCACTACCCTCCTCACTCAGCTCGGCCAAGTCATTTAATTTCCAGGTGACACGTTGATTTTCTTCATTCCTAAAACAAAATTGAACATCATTTTGACATTATGTTTCATATTTAATCACTGGTCTTGCAAGTGTTATCAAGTGAAATTTACATATGTAAATTGTATACATACTTAAGTGTCTTACAAATACAGTCCATTGTACTACCTGCCTAGTAATATTTCAATGTAACACACATGTATTGAGTTAATACTATAGATACTGTGTTGTGTACAGATACACATGGTATTTAAAACCCTATTGGTGATCATGACATCACAAGATCTCTTTGCTGGCAATTTCAAAATCTTAAATGATTACAGTATTGAATATGAATAATAAGAAACATTTGTCCTGTATTCAAATCATTTAAATAAATTTCAAAAAAATTCCAAACTAGTGATGTGTAGCTGCTTTCAAACTGATTTCCAAACTACATTCACATTGTTTTTCATGCAACATTCAAATAAATTGATGAATTAAATAACAGTAAACCTGTTAACAATTAAATACGACAAACCAATTTCCAGGAGGAATGCTCTGCATGTTTTCCACCCCTCCATTAACAACTACTGTGGCTATGACATTCTTTAAGGCGCTGGGTGAGGACATGGACTTAGGGTTGTACTTGTAGTCTAGCCTGAAGTCAGTGTGTTTTTCCTCACACTTCCAATATACCACAAGGGGAAGTGGACAGCTTTCTACACCAGGCTGGGGCTTCCCCTGTAACAAAAGATCCGATAAACAATCTGACAGACTGAACCTAGTGATAAGCATGTTATGTGATTGTTCACATAGTCTCATGAGTGACAATGTTTATGGTGTAAAATGTGATGTATGGTTCCTCTCTTTGATGTCAACATTTCAGGTAATTATAAATATTCAAACATATCGTTGGAATTTCAACAGTCTTGACAAATACCTTATAGTAGGTTATTTCAGCGAGTGTAAAAAACTAGTGTTCTGGAGTAAAATAACTGGTGTTCAATTTAAGCAATTCAATACTTAATGATTCTGCTCGTAAGATTTAGTGTTTCCTTACCAACACCTTTCTTATTGGAACTAAAATAGTGGTCCAGATCTGCCGACTTAACCTGGGCTACATTAAGTGGATTCTCTTCTCACAAATACACAAATAAATAAAATTTCAACTGCGTAAATTTCTATTTTTTGTTTTCAAAATTTTAGCTTTTAGATTTACACCTCTCTAAAATACACTGATTTTCAGTACATGATATTAATCTGAATTATACGCACTAGATTTTACATGTACTTACCTGGTATTTGAGTATATCAATATTGAAATAAGATGCAGTCTTGTTCTCCTCTCCCTGATTTCGGAGATGATCTGTCAGGGCGGACATATTGAATGTATATACAGTACAGTCCTCGGTTGCATTGTGTGATTCTCTGTAATAAATAAAACCACCATCAATCCCAACCTCATTATGTGATAAACATTGTCTTAGTAACCAGAATTTTAAGTAAAAAAACTGTGTGTACGCATTGTAAATTGATCAATATAAAATGGGACTTCCATATTTATGTTTATTTGGTAATAAGCTCAGAACTTTTAATAAAGATTAACCACCTACACTTTGGGTCACTGGGCTTATTATGGGATTGCTTTGTTTCTTTGCTGGGTTTATTGACCCCTGAATAGCCAAGGTCACTCTGAAGCGGAGTCTACATGGAGTAGCTAGTGGATTTTCCAATTAACAGCATACAGGAAGCACGTCACATGCCATTCAAAGTTATTGAAGTAAAGTTCTTAAAAGTGCAACTGGAAACTTCACCTGAGGTAAGTTGTTACTAAGTTATTACAACAAAGTATCTCTCACATCTCAGTATGTGATATCCAGGAAACAGAAATACTCACTCTACTATCAATTGTTTATTAAGGATGATGTTGTTAAGTCTAGATGTATTTTTGATTTGAAAGCTCAGTGTAGCCGGAGCAGGATTTTCTGTGAACACTTTGATGACACCAGCAGGAAATGACATCATGACATTGCCAATGACCTTCACCATACACCTGTAAGTAGAGCATTACCAATAAACAACAATACATATCAGACATTCCCACATGGGAGCCAAGTTTGATACAAAGATACTACAAAGTGGGAAATTTTCACTCAGCTTTATTTTGGCGATTTCATAAGTTAATTTTCTGATTTTAGGGTAAATTTGCCTAATATGATGCCCACTAAAATTTACTGGAATACAGTATTATGTACCTAGCAAAGCATTTCCAAACTATTTGCACTGACAATCTGAATATCACATTAATCAAAACAGAACTGGAACATTGCAAATAAATCAATTCAAATCCAACTTTGTAACTTAGAAACTTGTAAAGTTGAGAAAATGCATGAGGTTCTTACTGTGTAGCATCTGTGCCCTTGAAGTAAGCGCTGATATTCTCCGTGAACGCAATAGCTAACGGTATAGTGTCACACTTGCCAATGGTCAGCGGACTTGGCCCACGAGATGACCCCATCAACATGGAGGTTGTGCTAAAGGTCATGCTATCGGATCTGCCCATTAAGGAGGCAGGACTGTTCCTACCCGAGGGTCGTGATGGAACCTAAACAATACCAATAGATATGAATACTACATATTTATCTCAATATTGTAAGCATATATATTTATGATAATAATTACATCTACAAGTGATGCATGCATACTGCTAGATCTATAAGGACAGTAGCTTGTAGCCCTGATGGTACTAATGGGATACTTCTGTTTACAAGAGACAGAAGGATCATAAAGATACATGAGATAAAAGTCAGAAACACAACTTAATTTATTGCTACTGTCTGCTCCTCTTAAAAGATCAAAGTTTGCTGGTAACATCTAACACCATACACCATTTGTTTGAAATGTTACATAGCTTTGTACAATGTTACATAGCTTTGTACAATGTTACATAGCTTTGTAGTATTGTTTGATCTGTCTTGTTACCTGAGGTATGATGCCTTTGTTACGTGATGATGGCCTTGGGATTGCAGCTGATGGTAGGCTGATGCCCCCTCCAAGAGGTGAGGTGATGTGACTAGATGGGGAGGGGAGAGGGTTGACTGCCACCCCATCACTTCCTATACTATTGTTAAGTAGTCCTCCTATATCTGTATTACAAGGATAGAACAATGTCAGACCTTAGAACAATATCACAGACCTTAGAACAATATCACAGACCTTAGAACAATATCACAGACCTTAGAAAAATATCACAGACCTTAGAACAATGTCACAGACCTTAGAACAGTGTCACAGACTTTATCAAAACACTAATGCATAAATACTGGTACGTAATATGTCTGTCACTAAAACTTGGTTATTAAAAGTTGACTTTGTTGTATAATATCAAATTTTGGGATGATACTTAATAAAACATGTGTTCTTCTGGTGCTATTTATCAAACAAAAGAAATGAAGATGAAATTCTTTCAAAACCAGAACTTTTAGTTGAAAGATACTCCTCTGACAATGAAATTGGAAAGGAGTTGCTATGGGAAAAATAGTAAGTAAGTAATTTCAAACTTTGAAACTAGAAGTATTTGTATCCAGAACATGTGTTTCATAACTTTTGATTGAACTATCCCCACCTCACTCAGAAGAAGAAAACAAAAAAAACAAACTCAAACAACTCACTGAAATGAAACATTAATTGCCTAGGGTACAAATGCTGTGTATGATGATGTATAAAACTTGATTGCAAAGGTGAGCATAAGCAACATTGTGTAGAACATATTTCATTCACTGAAGAATGGACCAGCACAAATTAATCCCAGATTCCAATATTTTGATCAAAGCTTCAATGCTAGTAGTTAACACACCAGAAAAATAAATCCCATATTGTTTATTATCATGCAAACCACAAAGTGCAGATACTTCACCAAGACACACATCCCCCTACATCACACATCTTACATCATTACCCTCTACTACACCAAGATATATACTCGGCGTCAATGAAAACGCAACACCTTTAAATTACTGTCAAAATTTACCAGTTATAGTTTTGAATACAATATTTAATAAAATACCTAAAAGTTGATTATGTCCATAACAAAATTCACTCAATGCAATCAGCACTACATCATGGGAATACTTTGATTTCCGGTGACTAATGTCCATACCCCCAAAATCCAAATTACCACGTTCAATATCTAATGTGGCCACCATTCACAGCGACACAAGCGCGGCATCTTCGAGGCATTGACCGAATAAGGCGTTGAATTTTGATTTGAGGAATGTTCCTCCACTCTTCCTGATGAGCGATTTCAAGCTGCCGACGCGTCTGGGGCTGTTGTGGTCGCTCTCTCACAGCCCTACCCAATTGGTCCCAAAGATGCTCAATCGGACTAAGATCCGGGGAAAAGGTGGGCCACAGAAGGGTTGCGATGTTCTGATGTTGAAGGTAGTCTGTAGTGATACGAGTGGTATGTTGTCGTGCATTGTCCTGTTGTAATAACGCTACGTTTGGGTGTCCAGCAAAGAATGGAACAACATCAGTAGTTAAGACCTCGTTGATGTAGCGCTGTGTTGTTAGATTGCCATCAATAATTACTAGAGGGGTACGGTATGCAAAAGAGATACCTCCCCACACCATCACACTGCCCCCGCCCCACCTATCTGTTTCCGTTACACAGCAGTCCAAAAACCTTTCACCTCGACGTCGCCACACTCGAATTCTACCGTCATTTCCTCTGAGGCGGAATCTCGATTCGTCGGTGAACAGGATGTCAGCCCACCGACGCTGGGTCCATCCTCGGCGCTGTCTTGTCCAATTTAGATGATTTTGACGGCGAATTTGAGTCAATTTGTTTCCTCTAAATGGATGGCGCGACGTCAATCCGGCTGTGCGAAGGCGACGGCGCACAGTACTAGCTGACAAACGTCTGTCATGACTTCCTATCGTCTGTCTAGCCGTTCTTGTCGCGGTTTGAAAACGATCTCGCAGGCGACTTAGTCGAATGTAACGGTCCTGGTTTGGCGTCATCACTCTCTGTCGCCCTGGACGAGGTTGATCTCTCACGGATCTGGTTTGTCGCACTCGTTCTGCCAGTCGATTGATTGTGGAAGCAGAACAACCCATTTTCCTGGCAACTTCCCTCTGAGAAAGCCCTCCTGCCAGTATACCCTGAGCTTCGTGTCTTTCATTGTCTGTCAGTCGAGGCATTTGTAGCAAATAATGATGACAATTTAAAAAATTTATGACGGAAAAATGTCTGCCTGTAACTACAGTGTTCACTAGTAGTGACTGAGCAAGGATATAACGCACTTTAGAACGCCGACGTGCAAACTCTTGCTTTTACGACAATGCCCTGTGGTACGACAAGGAGTTGATATTACTCGACCATTATTTCGTTAGTTTTGTAGTGCATTGTGTTGTGGCTAAATAGAGCAGCATAAGAATCTAATCCTTGTTGTGAAGAATATATTATGTCCAAAATTTTAGTGTTGTGTTTTCATTGGCGCCGAGTATACATCCCCCTACACCACACATCTTACATCATTACCCTCTACTACACCAACACACATCCCCCTACACCACACATCTTACATCATTACCCTCTACTACACCAAGATATACATCCCCCTACACCACACATCTTACATCATTACCCTCTACTACACCAACATATACATCCCCCTACACCACACATCTTACATCATTACCCTCTACTACACCAAGATATACATCCCCCTACACCACACATCTTACATCATTACCCTCTACTACACCAAGATATACATCCTCCTACACCACACATCTTACATCATTACCCTCTACTACACCAAGATATACATCCCCCTACATCACACATCTTACATCATTACCCTCTACTACACCAACACACATCCCCCTACATCACACATCTTACATCATTACCCTCTACTACACCAAGATATACATCCCCCTACACCACACATCTTACATCATTACCCTCTACTACACCAACATATACATCCCCCTACATCACACATCTTACATCATTACCCTCTACTACACCAACATATACATCCCCCTACACCACACCTCTTACATCATTACCCTCTACTACATCAAGATATACATCCCCCTACACCACACATCTTACATCATTACCCTCTACTACACCAAGATATACATCCCCCTACATCACACATCTTACATCATTACCCTCTATACATACACCACACATATACATCCCCCTACATCACACATCTTACATCATTACCCTCTACTACACCAAGATATACATCCCCCTACATCACATATCTTACATCATTACCCTCTACTACACCAACACACATCCCCCTACATCACACATCTTACATCATTACCCTCTACTACACCAAGATATACATCCCCCTACAACACCCATCTTACATCATTACCCTCTACTTCACCTACACATATCCCCCTACATCACACATCTTACATCAGTACCCTCTACTACACCAACACACATCCCCCTACACCACACATCTTACATCATTACCCTCTACTACACCAAGATATACATCCCCCTACATCACACATCTTACATCATTACCCTCCACTACACCAACACACATACCCCTACACCACACATCTTACATCATTACCCTCTACTACACCAAGATATACATCTCCCTACACCACACATCTTACATCATTACCCTCTACTACACCAACATATACATCCCCCTACATCACACATCTTACATCATTACCCTCTACTACACCAAGATATACATCCCCCTACATCACACATCTTACATCATCACCCTCTACTACACCAAGATATACATCCCCCTACATCACACATTTTAAACACCTTGTATCCTATTAGTCAACCTAAGTGCTTAAACCAATATCCTAAGACAAATACATTTTGACAAATATCAGAATATAATTCATGGATCAAGATATTCTTGGATCTTTATTGTTAACAGGATTAAAAATAAACCTAGAAATTGGTACATATGTGAGAAAATTGAAGTAACAGCATGCTCATAAACAAATTAGATATGGAGCCATATCTGTTGAATTACTGAAATGTTATTTCTTCATCTAATGCTTAATTATATTGTTTATCATAACCACATGCTACTTTCCTCTATATATGCAACAGCTGTACAAGAATTCAATGGTTGTTTTTTTCCATCAAATATTCTGATACTCAAAATGTTGCCAATGAATATTTGAAAGGTGTGTGTGTGGTTAACGATAAATCTTCGTACACCAGATCTCATCTACACCTGTCACCAAATATACATCTCTCCAACATTCACCTGTCACCAAATATACATCTCTCCAACATTCACCTGTCACCAAATATACATCTCTCCAACATTCACCTGTCACCAAATATACATCTCTCCAACATTCACCTGTCACCAAATATACATCTCTCCAACATTCACCTGTCACCAAATACACATCTCTCCAACATTCACCTGTCACCAAATATACATCTCTCCAACATTCACCTGTCACCAAATATATATCTCTCCAACACCCAAGTCTTACAGTGTCAACCTTTATAACAAAAAACCCAGTGATTTCTTACTGACTCTCTTCGGGGCACTCTTAAGCTTTAAAACTGTATTGAATGGAACAAAAGACAGAAAACATATATACTTATTTCTTAAAAAATGTTAATAAATCAAACCTTCTACAAGACACAATATCATTAGGGCTTACACGATGCTTGCGTCATCAAATCAACAAAGAAAACACTATAATTTTCACCCAATCAGCCTTTGATGATTAATTTTCCACACATTGATTCGCTTTGTTAAGCTTCCTGCTTATCTTGAAATAGTGAAACAATGCAAGAAGCGTTTCCTTTTTATGTCAGCTGTTTATTTCTCCCTACTCAAGGATGAACAAGCTCCCATCCCTCTTGGTCCAATGATGTTTACAATGAAATACAATTTACTGTCCAGGTCGGGACTTCACTGCTAGCTGTGGTTAATATTCTATCTATGATGAATAAGACTTTCAATCAGGTTACATACATTTAATTTTGTGGTCCTTCAAAACCATTAGGTTTATAAACATGTACTTAAATTGTGAGTAGTCTCTTGTATTTGGCTAATAAAATTTTTTCTTTAATAAATAAAAATGTTTTACTCTTCCAACACAAAATCCTCGAACCATCCTAAAATTTATTTGCAGTTCTATGTAAAGTTTATTTATCATTTATCTAAAGTCCAGTAAATATAAAAAAAACAGCATACAAATAACTAAACAAAACCACCAATACAAAGATATAAGATTGGATAAGAATAACATTAGCTGTTTAACATGGTGTTGTGACAGGAGGTGCGGTGGCGATATACTCACTGTTGTTAGGGGTGGTGCCGGCACTGGACAGTGCATTATTGTGTAGTCGGGTATCTGCCATAGGGGAGAGTGGGGAGGGAAGGTTATAGCCCCCACCGGTGGGGGTGGAAGCACTTGACGAAGCAAAAAAATCTAAATTTAGTAAGTCCAGACCTGCTGGCTTCAGGGAACTGCAAAAGAAAACAGGCAAATCAAATAATCAATGCAAAAAAGAAATATTTAAACTGGCGTTGAAGTTTTTAAACAGAAAATCACAACAATAAAATATATCAACTCAATATCACTGTTTAGAACTGTTGCTTCCTGGGAGAGTCTTTAATAGTATATATAGGGGTATTTAATAACAATGAATTTAAGTGTCTGTTTAATGACCTTCTTCAGTCTGTTTCAAGACACCTTATATTTATTCACTATAGTATATACTTAAAATGTAATCAGTGATGGAGAGTGCTATAAAATCCATCAACAATATATACTGACAACTTTTTACTGAAGAAAGTGTCTCTGAAAATCCTACTTTCCATAGTGTTACAGACTGATACATTGTCCCTGTGTTCTAACTTACTCTAAGGTATCCGATTCAGACTGGGACCTTTTCATCTTCTTATCTGTTGGTGTCTGACTACGCTTTTTCTGAAAACAAAATGAACTTAATAATCTTTGTTTCCAATGGAATAACATCTACAAAGACAGTAGTTATAGGTCTTTTCATGTTACAAGTGGAATATAGGTATGAAAATACTGTTTGGAAAAATATGACATAAAGCAGAATATCTTGTACAAGAAAGGAAGGGATACTTGTCTATGTACTGTAAATTATTCATATACAATTCACTTTTGTGAATTTCACAAACAAAATCACAAAAATGTGAAGTATACATACTGCTATAGGAGAGAGTCGTAGAGCCTCCACGGATGCCTTTATATCCTTCACGTTACTGGTAATGGGAGGGGCACCATTGGGGCTGAGTGGTCGGATCTCCACTTTGATTTTCTTTTTGCTGTCATCATCTGAAATAAAATATCCAGGGTAAACCAACCACAATTCAATTTAATTCATTACACTCGTCAATGTATTTTGCCCTGTTTGGACTTCATCAGGGTGGATTTAAACAAACTTTTACTCCCTAAAGTATAAAAATTGCGAGCGCAACTTTCCTTTACATAGTACTCATTCATCGGCTAACAATATAACATAAACACACGAGACTAAGAAAGGAAATCAAACATGAAGTTTATGATAAAGTATTATGTATCTAAGAATAAATCATTGAATGTATTAGTGACAAACTTACCTGAATCTGTGTCACTATCACTGGAATACCAGCTGGTTTTGTCCCCATTGTTCTCCATAGGGTCATCAGGACGTATTTGGTAACCTTCATCATCAATCTCTGGAGTAATCTATACCGGGACAAACATAGAATCATTCACATTAACAAGTAATGTATAATTGTAAGTAATGATAATACTACTGACAGAAATGTTGAACAGTCCCCAAGCTTCTGAATTAATCACTACATAATTCAGCTTATTACATTTATTTAAAGTCACAAGTACAATACAGATAAAACTGATGTTAGACAGAGTGTAGACAGTCAGTACATAGTCATAGGGGACCCAGTACTGTGTAAATAGTTTAGCATGAAACTCACCCCTTCTTGTGTATCTCTGTAAACAGAATGAAGATTTTTATTTACAAAAACATTAATTTTCACATAATTTCTTATTTTGAATTCGAATTTTATTAGGATCTCAACTCACAAGTTTTTGTGTTAATCTATATTTTGCAAGTTATTAAATGTATCTACTGAAAGGAGCTTGTTGCTTCATATGACCTTGTCAGTTGTAGCATAGCAACATCAAAATATTGATCCTAACCAGCAAGATGTTTAAATAAACCACTTTTCATATCTTTGGAAAAAATTTCTTTACAAAATTTTCAATTTTTTCATCAGCCATTCACCATATGTACATACACAGATTCAGTGTCGGCTTTGTCCTCCTTCTTTTTCTTCTTCTTTTCTTTCTTCTTTTTCAGAAACCCTGAATATACAAGATATATGTCTTTGTCTTGTGCTAAGAATAAATTCCTTACCAAAAATGTTATCTTTATCACAAAATGCTGATAACAAATCCATTTATCTGTACAAGAAAACATCTTTACAAAACAGCCATTAAACTTTATAAAAGACAATGATACTTGCTTTAACAGAAGCTGGTTCAAAAACATAAATCATTAAAACTGTTTTCTTGTATATTTTAATGTAAAACATCAGTAGTTATGAATCACTATTAACACAGGTTCAATTTATAAGATAACAATTAAAATTCAAGAGCTTGATTTAGCATAAATGCATTCATATAAATTTTCACATTTTTTATATTTTCTAAATTGGAAATTTTCAACAGTTCATTTATCCTCAACATATGTCGTCAGTTCAGCCTCAAACTCCAACATTGCAATTTATATGCAGAGACATTTAAGATTTAAAAATTTAACTACATTCATTTGTTAAAAGCATTACTTGGTTACACATCTGTTACTAAGATACCATCTGTTACTTCTGGTTACAAGATAGAATCTAAATAGAAATACTAACACTGTAAACTAATAAACACAAATAGTAAATATCAACAACAACAAAATCACAACAAGCAGTTTAAAACTATAAGGAAAAGTCACATTGGAATAAAACTTTGTCAGATGGTACCATTCATTTATTGCATATATCAGCCTTCTGAAGTATATTGTGTAGAACTGAGATAAGGTTCTAGATGGGATAATTAATACCAAAATGGAGGCAAAACTCAAAATCGGTAATATCTATTTTACACACCTGTTTATATCAGGCAGAGTGTAATTATGGCATTTCACTCATATACCAAATTTGTAATCATTACAAACACTTTCATTGAATAAGAAAAATTTCTGGGACTTGTGAAATATTTTTTTTTTACTGTGCCATGCACAGAATTTGATTTTGAAAGTTATGATATACCACCAAACTGCAAAAGTAATTAACACAGTTGACTCTTACCATTGTATTAATTCACCTCTACCTCCCCAAAAAAGGAAGCATGGATGTTAAAACGTTTAGTAGCATAACATAAACACAAAGACAATTGCCTGTTGATAATAAATATGTATATTATATAGATAATTAATGATATGTGTTGTATCCATGCACAAAGTTTTCTTTCAAAATGAACTTTCCATTCAGAATGTAACAACAATATAATATATATAATAGAAAGTCAATCTCCAAAGCAATCCAATTGCAAGGCACCCAAGCAAGCTGGTACAAAGTGTCTGAAGGGAACAAAGAGCAACAGACTAACACAGGCTTACGGCTAATGAAATAAGCTGGAAAGATGAACACAAGCCAGTATCATACCACAGGCTACAAAGTAAAATGCTGATCCTCACTAAGTCTACATATCTTTCTTCTATTTCTATGTTAACATACAATGATTTGAGAGTACTGACAATTATATGTATTATCAAGAATTTTACATTTGAGGCTCACAGCTAAAACTAAATTAATATTTGTGATGCTAAGTGATCTCAACATACATACAACACATGGCGTGCAACAGTAGTATAAATACTGCAACGGATCAAAAAATGATAAAAAATATACTAAAAAAATTTACATGTATAATCAAAATCACACATATTTCAAGTCATGCGCAGATTAGTGGTGTCATTATGATTGGGACTGGAAAACAACAATTTCCGTTGGGCGTGAGACATCATAACAGGTCTCAAAACAGCATCCAGCATTAACCTCACTGTAAAATGGTGATTCTTCCATAGGTTTAAAATTCACATAAATTGGTAGTGCTGAATCCAGAGTCATTTTGTCCAGGTAAATGTATACTTAGATATCCATCACTATATACAATCCACAGAAAATGTCTGCAAGTTAAGCTCTCCTATTGATAAGTATCAATTTGAACTCTCCATCTTAATTACAACATATCCAATAAAGCGTTTGTGATACAAATAATTAATTCTAGTGTTTACAATTATCACAGGAAAACAGGATACTTATTAGGGGTATTTAAAGGAAGTATTGGATGTTAATCTAACCATACTGATGTAAAGTCATCCATACCTACTTACACACACCTGCATGTCCATCACTAATTATCTAATACACCTGGTACTTAGCCCCTAGTACATGCTACAACTCCTTACATATACTATCCACTACACACTATATCAACTAGCCTACTTAATTATTTATTACTGGTATATTACATTGGTTTCTACTTAACAATGGGTTCCACATAAAGTAACACTAAACACTAACATCACAATAAATTTTTGAATCAGCAGGTTAGGAATTGCCATAATGAACAACTCTATCATGTCCCAAGTCTGCCATCAAACAGCTATACTCATATATTTATCATCAACCAAAGCTAGGTTAAAGGAAAGACAAAATATGTACTGGTCTTTTTTACTTTTTTTTAAGGATTCAGCTAGCTATTTTAACTCATATCACAAAGCATTCCAGCATCCTTGCTAAGGTATCGCCATGTCAATCAATACTGAACATGGTGAACCAGACACGGACAGAGCTTGATTAGGTCTGCAGAAGGCAAGGGATGATATTTCTAGGAATGAAAGGGACATCGAAGGATGGTCTTAACAGGGCTGCAAGGGGCATAGGTTGATCTTAATATAACTTAAAGGGATATCTTAACAGGACTTAAGAGGACAAGGCTTTACCTTCATAGGATTGAAGGCACCAAAGACCAACTTTAACAGGACTAAAGAGGACAAAGGCTGATCTTAACAGGACTAAAGAGGACAAGGCTTTACCTTCATAGGATTGAAGGCACCAAAGACCAACTATAACAGGACTTAAGAGGACAAGGCTTTACCTTCATAGGATTGAAGGCACCAAAGACCAACTATAACAGGACTTAAGAGGACAGGCTTTACCTTCATAGGATTGAAGGCACCAAAGACCAACTTTAACAGGACTTAAGAGGACAAGGCTTTACCTTCATAGGATTGAAGGCACCAAAGACCAACTATAACAGGACTTAAGAGGACAAGGCTTTACCTTCATAGGATTGAAGGCACCAAAGACCAACTATAACAGGACTTAAGAGGACAAGGCTTTACCTTCATAGGATTGAAGGCACCAAAGACCAACTTTAACAGGACTTAAGAGGACAAGGCTTTACCTTCATAGGATTGAAGGCACCAAAGACCAACTATAACAGGACTTAAGAGGACAAGGCTTTACCTTCATAGGATTGAAGGCACCAAAGACCAACTTTAACAGGACTTAAGAGGACAAGGCTTTACCTTCATAGGATTGAAGGCACCAAAGACCAACTTTAATAGGACTAAAGAGGACAAAGGCTGATCTTAACAGGACTAAAGAGGACAAGGCTTTACCTTCATAGGATTGAAGGCACCAAAGACCAACTATAACAGGACTTAAGAGGACAAGGCTTTACCTTCATAGGATTGAAGGCACCAAAGACCAACTTTAACAGGACTAAAGAGGACAAGGCTTTACCTTCATAGGATTGAAGGCACCAAAGACCAACTTTACTTGGACTAAAGAGGACAAAGGCTGATCTTAACAGGACTTAAGAGGACAAGGCTTTACCTTCATAGGATTGAAGGCACCAAAGACCAACTTTAATTGGACTAAAGAGGACAAAGGCTGATCTTAACAGGACTTAAGAGGACGAGGGTTTATTTTAAAAGGGCTTTCAGGGATTTTGAGACAGAAAAGGCTGTGGTCTGCTGTGTATGAATGTATGTCTTGATAAAGTACTTTTTAGTGAAAACAATGAATAAAATTCAATTTAGTGTGTATTGTAATACTGTGGATCTAGGTATAAATAATGAGCATATCAATTAAATATACCACATTTATGATGCAAATTGGTACGTATTATCCAATTCCAATGCAGTATTTCTGAAGCATGCTTTGTCCAGCATGATAATGTTAACATTATAGTTTGTGTATATATATATACTGGTATATGTTACTGTTGGAAGTTATGGTTCTCAGAACAACAGATTATAACATCACATGTAGGACATGTATGGAAATTGTAACAGAACCTGTAATATATCAGTTGTATAGACAATAGGTAGTTAAATACCTACCTTTAATTTGTATCTTTGATATAATATTCTCATACTGTGGTAACACTAAACCTGAACAAAAATATTACTTTGATACTATTTAATCCAATCTGAGAGTAAACATCCCAGTATAATTTAGATTTACAATTAATGTACACAAATAATTACCTGTACTGCTACAGATGATATCAATCATACCACTAGAGATTCACTGTTTGTTGCACACGTAAAGATTACTCATTGCTGTAAAAACGTCCTAATATTAATTCTGATATTTAATCCTATTACTGATCATGGACCTTTCATCAACTCCATGTATTTTGTTATTTTATTCTGATGCTAATAAGTCTGGATGTCTATATTTAGAATCTTACATTACATAACCAGTAACCTATACTTTACGAAGGGCTAGGAAGTAGCAAACCTGCAGGAAGGGGGATGAAAGTTACAATGGATAAAACAATCCCAGAACTTGGTAGAGATGTTTTACACAGAATCACCTTCTGGTAAGTAAATCTTTATAGTGTATTTCAGTGTAAAACAAAATCTTAACAATTTATAATCATTTTGTTATAAAAATATTGTCCAGTGCTTAGGGAGACTGTGAAGGCATACAACCAGTTAATGCTGAGAAAATGACAGTTGAATTACTTGTTTGAATGTCAATCATAAGACAAACAATGACAAAACTGTGACCGACAAGACATGTGATGACACTTCTGATGACACAACACAGGATAAAGTGGATAAACAATGACAGGTGTCAGGACACCAATGTTGGTATGAAGACATGACCAGCCAAGACATGGCATGATACAAACATCAAAATACAAGTCAAAGACATTATGTTTACTCAAGTAAAGACACAACTGACAGCAATAAGACAGAGGGCGACAAATCTGACATAATTATCAATTATAGGGCCAATAATGATGTGTAATGACACATCTACCGTGACTAGACCAATAAAGACATATGTCATGACACAAGGACATGTGTAATGACACATCTACTGCAACTAGACCAAAGAAGACACACGTCAAGGCACATGGACATGTGCTGTGACACATCTACCATGACTAGACCAATAAAGATGAATGTTATGACACAATGACATGTGAAATGACACATCTACCATGACAAAACCAATGAAGACATATGTCATGACACAAATATTGGTATCAATGACCCACAACGATAATCATTAAGACATTTCAAAGATACTTCATTAAGACACATGTGATGACACTTGTCATACTTGCATGTAACATCAAACTTTTGATTGAAATGACTTGCAGTCATAATATGTGCTGGCAACAAACTTCAATATAATCATAAGACAAAAAAATTATCAAGAAAGTGTCACTATTCTATCAGTAATAACTAGCAATAGACCATACTATGCTGCCTGTCAATGACAGCTGTGCGATGAGAAACTGACGCAGTGTAATAAAAGTACTGATGATTATAATAGAATGAGGCAGATACTCAACTGAATAGTAAATTAGTCTTTTACAAGAGAATAGCAGTGTTAATCATCCTAAGCATTGCTTCAGTGTATCCCTACTATTTCAGAATAGCAAAGCTTCCATATAGCATGGTACTTCCAGCAGGAAATCAGATCATTTTGAAGCAATAGGCTCACACAAAACAAATCCTTCAACATAGTTGTAAAGCATGCTTAAGTATGTAAAAAAAGGTGCAAAATTCTCATTAGTAGGTGTGTTATTGAAGAAGTAGATGTTTTTGACGAGCGGATACTGATGTTTCCCACTCCACTGTGTTTGTCCTTCCACCTTCATGCATGATCTGATAGCAAACACCACCTGACCCCACAGTAATTTTATACATAAAGCTTATCATCACCTTTCCAATATCTAGCCCACTGTCAACGACCAAACATATCAACTTCAATTCTAATTCTAGTTTTTCCTTCAGTGTCCCTCTAAGTTTTTCACTGCTATAAATGATGTGGACTTTTGTTTGAAACTACAAACAAATATTTGATATGCCTCTAGAAATAACCAAGACGATGAAATACAAATATACCTTTGATGTTTCATAGTTTAGACGAAGCCATGAATTATAACCAATATGTATACAAGCTGTTCACTGATCTCACATGAAAAGCCCAACAATAAGCTATTTGACCTCGTTATCTAACCAGTCTAGTACAGAATATACACACTAACTTCTAATATACTATTTGACCTGGTTATCTAACCAGCCTAGAACACAATATACACACTAACTTCTAATATACTATTTGACCTCGTTATCTAACCAGTCTAAACACAATATACACACTAACTTCTAATATACTATTTGACCTCATTATCTAACCAGTCTAGTACACATTATACACACTAACTTTTAATATACTATTTGACCTCGTTATCTAACCAGTCTAGAACACAATATACACACTAACTTTTAATATACTATTTGACCTCGTTATCTAACCAGTCTAGAACACAATATACACACTATTTGACCTCATTATCTAACCAGTCTAAACACAATGTACACACTAACTTCTAATATACTATTTGATCTGGTTATCTTACCAGTCTAGTACACATCATATACACTAGATTCTACTAAACTGTTTGACCTCTTTATCTCACAAGTTTAGTTCACAAAATATACACTAACTTCTCATCCACTTTAGAGGTTTAACATACAAAATGGAATGGAGTAACTGGCAAATTCTATGAAAGCTCTCAACTAAAAAATAAACAATATGATACAACTTTCCTATAATCTTACCCTGACCCTACCTACCAGTAGTATGTCCATGCTGGGATTGAAACCTGTACCCAAATGTTGATGTTTTGTTTGTAGATTAGATAGCCATACAATGTTATGATGTATCCTGACAAACCTTGGGTATATTCCAGTCTACTTATTCCCAATCTCCATTGATAACCTCTGCCAACTTGAGTTAGATCATGCACACTACATTTAATATTATTGCAGCACCAGCAAATTAATCAGAACTACTTATAAAAAACACTGTCAACTGGGGGCTACTTTACAATACAGATGGTTGGACACACACAACGCACACATCAACCCACAACAAAAGAGAGGAGGTTATTACATGTCCTGGACACGCGGAGCTTTACACTGCGACTGAGAGGACCTGGTTGGTCGGACAAGACCGGACTGGGACTCCCACTGGAGTCTGGAAGGAGACAATCAGGGAAAAAAAAAGACACATATCAATTCTATTATGCACTTAATCTTCAAATCTCACACCATTTTCTTTCAAATTGAAAAAAAAATCACTCAACTAGCTACACGTAAATTCATTTGTCATCTTCATTCTCAACAAATTTTACTGATAACATTGATGTTTCTTTTTCATTTATACACAAACATAGTTTATAAACATGTTTTTGACACCAACTCTCTTTGCTTGCATCCTTCTGTTACAGGAAATGACTTATCATAGAACAATTACAACCTTATTTACATTATTACATACAGTTATATTTCCTCAACATAGCAAACATCAAAATATGAAAATTACTCTGAAGAATTCAGCTACAATATATCTGATACAGAATTTCATCTGCACCAGTACAATCGCACGATATATTTTAAATGTTTTCCTAAATTTCAAAGTAAATATAAAACATTCTCATATCATATATAAAGATGCCACTGAATCTTGATTTTTCATCCCTACTAACGGTGATGCTATACAAGTGATGCTGAATGTTTAATGCAGGCTCAGTGTTGGGGTATGTTCTGGGAGGAAGGATTTACTGATGAGAGAAGGTGCAATGGTCTACTCATTTATGTATGTAGCAGTCAATTGGAAAAGTGCATGCAACATGTCGAACCATGTTGTAGTTCTTATCTATGATAAACACATGGACAAAATTTTGAACAACGTAAGTATAAAACTGAAGGCATACATGAACGATGAGCTTTAGAAGCAGAAGTAGAATCTGAAAAGAAAAGAAAATCCTACAATAGTCAACCCCTTATTAGTATAAAAATGTAAATGTTAAAGAGTTTCACTCTAATCAATACCTCTGTAGTACCTCTGTTCAGTATACCTGTACACCTCTGGTCAGTATACCTGTACACCTCTGGTCAGTATACCTGTATACCTCTGGTCAGTATACCTGTATACAGTAGGTACAACACCTCTGGTCAGTATACCTGTATACCTCTGGTCAGTATACCTGTATACCTCTGGTCAGTATACCTGTATACAGTAGGTACAACACCTCTGGTTAGTATACCTGTACACCTCTGGTCAGTATACCTGTATACAGTAGGTACAACACCTCTGGTCAGTATATCTGTATACAGTAGGTACAACACCTCTGGTCAGTATACCTGTATACAGTAGGTACAACACCTCTGGTCAGTATACCTGTATACAGTAGGTACAACACCTCTGGTCAGTATACCTGTATACAGTAGGTACAACACTTCTGGTCAGTATACCTGTAGACAGTAGGTACAACACCTCTGGTCAGTATACCTGTATACAGTAGGTACAACACCTCTTGTCAGTATACCTGTATACAGTAGGCAGTATACCTGTATACAGTAGGTACAACACCTCTGGTCAGTATACCTGTATACAGTAGGTACAACACCTCTGGTTAGTATACCTGTATACAGTAGGCAGTATACCTGTATACAGTAGGTACAACACCTCTGGTCAGTAAACCTGTATACAGTAGGTACAACACCTCTGGTCAGTATACCTGTATACAGTAGGTACAACACCTCTGGTCAGTATACCTGTATACAGTAGGTACAACACCTCTGGTCAGTATACCTGTATACAGTAGGTACACCACCTCTGGCCAGTATACCTTTATACAGTAGGCAGTATACCTGTATACAGTAGGTACACCACCTCTGGTCAGTATACCTGAATATTATAGGTATAACTTAAGTTGGTAATTTTTAGAATTATAACAGGTCTTTATTGTACCTATCTACAATAGATTTTAACACCTGTGGTCAGTGTACCTATCTACAATAGATTTTAACACCTGTGGTCAGTGTACCTATCTACAATAGATTTTAACACCTGTGGTCAGTGTATACCTGCATATAGTACGTAATACCAGTGGTTGATTTTTACCTGTCAATAGTAGGATTAGCACCTGCAGTCAGTGTATATCTGCATATAATATGTAAAACACCAGTGTTCAATTTTAACCAATGAACGGTAGGTATAAAACCTGTGGTCAGTTTTAACCCGTCAAAAGTAGGAATAGCACTTGTGGTCAGTGTATACCCATAAACAGTAGGTGTAGCACCTGTTGTCAATTTTTACCTGTCAGTAATAGGAATAGCACTTGTGATCAGTGTATACCTGTAAATAGTAGGTATAACATCTGTGGTCAGTGTATACCTGTTTATAGTAGGTATAACATCTGTGGTCAACGTATATCTATTTATAGTAGGTACAATACCTGTGGTCAGTGTATACCTGCTTATAGTAGGTCTAACATCTGTGGTCAGTGTATACCTGTTTATATTAGGTATAACATCTGTGGTCAACATATATCTATTTATAGTAGGTACAATACCTGTGGTCAGTGTATACCTGCAATATATAGCAAGTATACCGGTAATACAGTGTTTACCTGTAAATAATAGGTATTACATTTTTGGTCAGTGTATACCTATAAATTAGAGGTATAACACCAGCCTGTGGTCAGTGAATTTCCACATTTATAACTGACACACATTTAATGACATTTGATCCCTATTCCATGCCGCAATGTTAGTTTATAAGTCAACACTGAGCTTTATTCTAGGATTAGTTAGCAGTAAGTAACATGGTGATTCGTTGTTACAATTAGAAACCTACCCAGACTCATTTAATTCTTCTACACAGCCTCATTTAATTCTCCTACGAAAACTCAGTTCTTGATAAAAGTTGATCTACAATTTTGGAATTTGATTGAGAAACACACACAAGTTTTCATCAATCAGGGAAACTACAGAACAAAATGGGAAATTTTGTACTAACTTCTAAACAACTGATCATAACTAATCACATTGAGAAAGAGGCCTTTGAGAACCTTCTCTTCTAACACAAAATCACCATAAATTGTTAGGAGCATTCAGTTGTTCTCTCGTCAACACAAAGCTGAAATTGCTTTTCATTTGCTAATCATGTTGTATTTTCTAATACAAATCTGAAGTCTTTTACTGTTACATCAAACCACCATAGTTAATCTTCAGTGAGCCCTTGGGTTTATACATTATCTTTGACTCAAAGTCAACAGGTGAGTGTATTACAGGACAATGAAAAAATGAGTTGATTTAAATTCTTAACAACATTATGTATGGATGGGCTTACTACCTGGCAAGTGATTATTGTTAGATATATATGGTATGTGATTTACGACGGAGAACAACTGGATTTTTTAAATATTAGGATTACAACACCTGTTCGCCCAGAGAACTATAAGATATTAAGTAATAAATGTAGGCAACTTTTAAAGCATAAACATAAACAAAACATGTATTAAGCTCACCTTGTCCACGCTTCTCGGAGAAGCTCTCTCGTTTGTCATTGGGTTCCGGTGACATGGGACGTGGGGCTGGCAAACTTGATAGGTCTGGTTCCACAAACTCTATTGGACCTGGGAAGAACAATGACAAACTAAGATGAAATTCAGAGCCAAGTACACTGTACTTATCAAATGAATGTAAATGTCAGTATTATAATAATTAATGATCAACATGATAGTAGACTTAACAAATTCAAATCTTTGCTATCAATAGCTATAGAATAAACTTAAGGTTACTATCAATAGCTTTCGAATGAACTTAAGGCTTTATAAATTCAACAACATTTCTTTTCATTGTAAAGCAGTTTAAATGCTCTGGCAATTCTAGTCTCAATAACTCATCACAGTTTTTACAAAACCGTTTATCATCACAAATCAGTGATTGGAAAGTGGTGTGACTGAGGATTATCTATCTATACTAAGCTGATATAACCTTGTAACAACTGTCAAATTCTACAATTTAGACAACTTTGGATGATCTGATAATTAGTGCAATATTGACAGACAAAAATACAAGATGGGTGTTGGCTTATAATAACTGTAGAATACTTAACAGTTTTTTTTTCAGTTTTCATGCGATAGTTGAGTTGAAGACAGAATATTACAGTCAACCTAGTTATGTCAATCTCATATAACTCACAGACCCCAATTAATTCAAGTATTAGTTCTGGCCAAACTTTATAGCAAACATTTGAACTCACTAACAACCTGAAGTCTTCCCATCTTACCTTCGACATATCATTAAAATGTCACTTAAATTTCATTTCAAGTTGTACATCCCACTTTCAAATATTTCAATATTCACATATGAATTTAGAATGAAAGAAAGACTCTGATTTGATCAAGTATACCATAAAAACTAAACTAAAGACATAAAACACCATTTGAGATAAGAAGTAAAAAATAGCCTTGTAACACTTAAAAGGTGCAGTATAGAACTGGAAAAGAATTAAAAGAAAAGAGTATTATATTGGCATATCAGTGAAGTAAACAAACCTTTCCCCAGACAAAGAGAAAAAAATATAAATAAATGGTGAGGATTTACTCATAAGGACAGGATTGCTTATAAGTTTTGCAAAATATTTGATATAAACTCTGCGTACCACAATGTTTGTGACATTATCAGCATTTTTTTTATTTCTTTGCAGAAAAAAGTTTTATTTCTGAAACCAAGCAATATATAAATTCATTCACAAGATGATAAACATAATGTATGGTCTGGCTTATCATCACCTTACTTTCATCTGTAATGCTTTGACATTTTATTGTGTTTTTTACTATCTTTATTTACACATGCTTGTCAAAATAAATAGCTTTATAGAGCTGATATTTTACTGTTTGTATAAACATCTATGGTATAAAATTAATCTCCCTGTATCATAAATGTTAATCACTGTTGTAACAGCTGGCACTGACGGCTATCATCACAAACTCCTAGCAGTACAGCGATTCCAAAAATAAGACATCAGTCACATTGGGGAGTACACCAAGTAGGTAATGCAGCACACACTCTGCAGCATATGTGACATCAGATTAGGTATATATTTACAATGAACACACCACCACAAGAATTAGTATTATCTGTTCATCACTTTCATCTTTTCTAGACATTGTATTTGTGACAATATGAAAAAATCAGATTTCTTTGGGAAAACAAGTGATAACTTCTTGTATATTTTTTGTCAACCTTTCCTACCTAGGAGAGAACCAGCTGATTTCTGGGCCCAATGTTAAACAAAAAGTTTTAGTCAATCTTCATAATTGTTCATAATTTCAGAAATTGATTTTTCCATTTGAAAGGGATGCTTAAATTGTGTAGTTTTTAGATTCTGGGAAGGAGGGTCTATAGAGGTCCTTTCTGAAGCTTGGAAGTTTTACATGTATGCAATCTCTCCTGTGGAAATTCCAGAAAATGGCCAGAATGTAATTGGTCCATTTTCTTGGAAGGCTGTAAATGCTACAATGGACATTCCAGGATGAGAATGGGTCAATAAAAAAATTCTTGTTATTGGTTTCTGATTTCACTGCATTGACAACACGAGTTAATCAAATATGCAAACACACAATCCCAACAGCACACTTTAGTTGATCTAGGCAGCCTATGTCTAGAAATTCTTAACACAGTAGTCCAAACCACTCCACATAAGCAGTCTAACTATCCTAGGCTAGGTACTAACAGTAATATCACACTAATGAAACAAACGGATAAAAGGGTGACATGCAAGAAAAATGAAAAATGTTCAAACATTGAGGAAAGTATTGGGAACCACTAACAACTAAACAAATTTCATAAAATGAAAATTTAAAAACAAGAGTTTAGTTTGCTGACCATAATATATCAGGCAATATAAATATGTGATCACAAAACATATGTAAACTTCGGGCCTTCACTCAATGTTTATATGTATAGATATAATAACCCTTTCTTAAAGTTCATCTAATCATATTTACCACAATAGTGAGTGGAATACGTGATGTGGATAAAAGACATATCAAACAACATACAAAAGACTAGATAGATATACAGACTGATAATTTTTTCTAATTTTGATAGTCTGTGATTTGTTTCCCACACCTCATTAGTTAAAAAGCTATTTGGTTACTACCACTTTCCTTAAACTTTTGAGTTATGGACCACTGTATATCAATACACAATCTTAACTGTACAACATTTAACAGCACAGCTTTGGTTAGAGTCATCAGTACCTGTGTAATCCCAACAACGCATGACTGACAAGGGAGAAAAAGGGGGAACATGGTGTCAGAAATATCACAACAGTGTCACATAGTGTCACATAGTCACGTTACATAATCTCTCAAACTTGTGTCACATAGTGTCACATAGTCACGTTACATAATCTCTCAAATTTGTGTCACATAGTGTCACATAGTCACGTTACATAATCTCTCAAACTTGTGTCACATAGTCATGTTACATAATCTCTCAAACTTGTGTCACATAGTGTCACATAGTGTCACATAGTCACGTTACATAATCTCTCAAACTTGTGTCACATAGTCATGTTACATAATCTCTCAAACTTGTGTCACATAGTGTCACAGTCACGTTACATAATCTCTCAAAATTGTGTCATATAATGTCACATAGTCACGTTACATAATCTCTCAAACTTGTTAAAGTACTCAGAACATCCTACTACTCAGAACATCCTACAAATTCTTATTTATCTATTTATATATAAAAATGATGTTAAGCAAATTTTGTGAAAGATTAGCAGAATTCACATAAACTGGTGCAGCAAAAGTAAGGCCACACTTGTTGAGAGCGAGATTAAATTGAAGATTTTTCTTGATACTGACAGAGTGGCTAAATTCAACAATATTAAATGAAATTTCAAATGTAAAATAACGAAATCAGAAAAGCCAAATTAATAAAAACAATTTTTGCAGTAAGATATTAAATAAGCCATATTGCTTCAGGTTTGAAAGCTTTCTCTACAAAATATTCCAATAAATTGAGCTTGAACGGCAACAAGCTAAACAAGGCTATGTGTTTCTTATTATGTAAAATCAAAGCAAAACAATGTCCCAAACAAATATTTAAGACAGGTACAGAGAGACAAAAATACTGTTAACATGTAGAGTGTTGTACCAGGTTTTTTACATTAATAGAATAAACATGACAAGGAGTGGACTTTTGACACATCAACACCTCACAAGATATCAATCAGATTGATACAACGTATTTCAATACAAGATACCCTCGACAGAGGCAGGGCATACTTAGTAGAACTTTCAAATATAAGGCCTGCCACGTATCCATGTAAATCTAGGGCCTGTCACACATTCATATAAATCTAGGGCCTGTCACATATCCATGTAAATCTAGGGCATGCCACGTATCAATAGATATCTAGGGCCTGCCACGTATCCATGTAAATCTAGGGCCTGCCACACATTCATGTAAATCTAGGGCCTGCCACACATCCATATAAATCTAGGGCCTGCCATGTATCCATGTAAATCTAGGGCCTGCCACACATTCATGTAAATCTAGGGCCTGCCAAACATACATGTAAATCTAGGGCCTGCCACACATTCATGTAAATCTAGGGCCTGCCACACATCCATATAAATCTAGGGCCTGCCATGTATCCATGTAAATCTAGGGCCTGCCACACATTCATGTAAATCTAGGGCCTGCCACACATCCATGTAAATCTAAGGCCTGCCACACATTCATATTAATATAGGACCTGTCACACATACATGTAAATCTAAGGCCTGCCACACAATGATGTAAATCTAGGGCCTGCCATACATTCATGTAAATCTAAGGTCTGCCACACATTCATGTAAATCTAAGGCCTGCCACACAATGATGTAAATCTATGGCCTACCACACAATGATGTAAATCTACCACACGTATTGATGTAAATCTAGGGCCTGCCACACATCCATATAAATCTAGGGCCTGTCACACATTCATATAAATCTAGGGCCTGTCACACATTCATGTAAATCTAGGGCCTGTCACACATTCATATAAATCTAGGGCCTGCCACATATCAATGTAAATCTAGGGCCTGCCACGTATCCATATAAATCTAGGGCCTGCCACGTATCCATATAAATCTAGGGCCTGCCATGTATCCATGTAAATCTATGGCCTGCCACACAATGATGTAAATCTAAGGCCTGCCAAACATACATGTAAATCTAGGGCCTGCCACACATTCATGTAAATCTAGGGCCTGCCACACAATGATGTAAATCTAAGGCCTGCCACACAATGATGTAAATCTAGGGTCTGCCACGTATTGATGTAAATCTAGGGCCTGCCACACATCCATATAAATCTAGGGCCTGTCACACATTCATATAAATCTAGGGCCTGTCACACATTCATGTAAATCTAGGGCCTGTCACACATTCATATAAATCTAGGGCCTGCCACATATCCATGTAAATCTAGGGCCTGCCATGTATCCATATAAATCTAGGGCCTGCCACGTATCCATATAAATCTAGGGCCTGCCACGTATCCATGTAAATCTATGGCCTGCCACACAATGATGTAAATCTAAGGCCTGCCACACAATCATGTAAATCTAGGGCCTGCCACACATTCATGTAACATTAGGGCCTGCCACACAATGATGTAAATCTAGGGCCTGCCACATATTCATGTAACTCTAGGGCCTGCCATACATTGATGTAAATCTAGAGCCTGCCATACATTCATGTAAATCTATGGTCTGCCACACATTCATGTAAATCTAAGGCCTGCCACACAATGATGTAAATCTAGGGCCTGCCACACATTCATGTAACATTAGGGCCTGCCATATATTGATGTAAATCTAGGGCCTGCCATACATTCATGTAAATCAAGGGCCTGCCACACATTCATGTAAATCAAGGGTCTGCCACACATTCATGTAAATCTAAGATCTTTCACACATTCATGTAAATCTAGGGTCTGCCATACATTCACATAAATCCTCAATTGCATTCATTCTGATCATTTTAATCACCCTCCCTCTGTCCAGTGGATGTATTTATGGAACAGTTGTAATAACAAGGATATCCTTAAGAGTTGTCTGCTCTTACCTGGTTTTTCAGTTCCTGTTTTTTTGGAAGCAATAAAATTTTCTAATAATTTCTGTACAGAAAGTTCATCACAGCTTGCTTTGAATTCTTTGTGAACCTGAAATAAACCATAACTAATTACTGAATTCTGAACAAAATATAGACATTCAGTATTAGCATTAAGTACATATGGTACACCCATACATTTTTATGATAAATCTGGATTTGTTCTAGGCTTCATTTTGAACATTAGAATGCATCACTTACTTATCACAACATCAAAATTCTTTCCAATAATTTTACTCCAAATCTAACACCGCATCAGTATGATTATCAGGGAAATTTTTGAAGGCAGGATCAATTGACCAGTATTTCAGGAGAATAGAGGACCTACCTGGCCTATCAATGCATGCTCATTTTCCCAGGCTTTGGCATAGGTATCAATAAAGTCTTTCATCTGACATATATGTTCTTCTTGTAGCTCTTGGAAGTGCTGAAAAAGTATCACAAATTATAACAATATCAACACTGGACTGAAGGGACAACTATTGTAGGCATCATCGTAATTATACAGAACTTACAAGGAGTCATTGTCTTAAATATACCTCATTTATTGTGTTTATGTCTGGAAATACGCCCACCAATATCTATAGTTGCTTTGTAGAATCACTAATAGCTATTTCACCGTCCTGTAATATATCACTGTGACATGATAAACAGGCAATGTGTTCTTCACGGCCTAGTGAAGGATAAATAAACTAAGATGTCTCCAAGGCAAAACAGGAAAGTACAGATTTTAAAAATCGTTCTTGGTTTTTCTTTCACACAAATGTATATGATTGTTTTTGTTTGATGGGTTTATTGCCTTATCAATAGTCAGGGTCATTTTGAGGTGGGGTCTCCTAGTAGTAACTGTTAACTACCTTAATGAACAACATATGGGAGGCCTGACACATCCCATCCAGAGCAATTAAATTAAGGACACAACCATGTCAGCACAGATCCTTTCCCAGCTTTATGAGGTACACAAACCACAACAGTTAGTGAACAACACACCTTGGACCATTACCTAAGGTAACATTGCCGATTGCTCTAACTGACTAAGCTATCGATAGCCCCATAGCTGTATGGATCTGATGCCCTGATATCTACTCACCTTACAGGATCCCAACATTTTGGTTTCAAATTCATTCCTAACAGTTGCATATTTATCCACTAAGTTTTTATAATCATCACCTGCAACAGCAATATCAAGAATTAGTGTTAAAGATGGTTATCTTTCCAAACAAGATTTTTGATTGTTTTGATGCATAATTAAAGGATTGCTTTAATACTATATCAATTTTCTTAAGACATATTTTGGAAAAAATATTTTTAGCATTATATAAGACGACACACAGCTGCCAGGAAGTGTAGTACAGTTGAAACTCATCTCAAAATCACTTGAGTCCAAAATTCCATTTGAGTTCAAATAATTTTCAAGTCTCGATTTTCCCCCTTTTTTTTATGTAATTTTAGTTTGGTTGATTCAAATTTCAATGAGTCGAAATTTCAGTTGAGTTAAAGCGATTTTTCAGTCCCTTAATTATAAAGCAAGCAAAAAGTCATTTGTTGTCTCGGAATTTATTTTTGTCAAAACATTGTCTTATCTTCTGACGAAATTGGCCAATACATACAGGAGTAGAAAGTCACCTGTGTGTTATACATGGCTAATTGCGGCGTATCAGTCCGTTGTACACATAACACTTGGTGACTGGCGATCAATTACCGTGTGCGGGACAGACGGACATGAGTAAAATGTTATATGATTGTAATTGTAATTACATGTTCTATAGTTTGAATGTAAAAACAATAAAAGGATAATATGAAAACAAATTTATTTGTTTATTTACTGCCATTTATGTAACAGATTAAACTACTCTGTATGTGTACTATCATAGCCCTGTTTCGTTCAACTGTAATCAATGTCAGAAAACTGATATCAATTAATTTATACACTTTTTTTGAGTCGAAATATGGATAAGTCGAAAAATTTACCACGGTCCATTGAATTTTGTGATAACGAGTTCGACTATTAATTTTGGAAAAGATTACTCACACTACTTTTTACAGTATTTTGAAAATATCTTTGACTTTTTATACTTACTAGCTTTTTTACATTTTACTTCAGCCTGCAAAAAAATCAGAATGAATTGATAAGGCCTAGTTTTATAACAAGTTTATATATCATAATCTTCATTTACTGTTATACAGAATCTATATTTGTTGATATATAAATAACACTTTATGAAATTCACAATCTTAACTTTCCATTATGAATGAAAATTCTATTCAGCCCAGTTTCAAATAGTCAAAATTTTACTGTACCTAAATCTCCACTTTTTCCTTAAGTCACAATTAACAGTGATCTAAGTAACCTATAAGGTAAAGCCATCTAAATAGAACATTTACCTTCTCCATGTCTTTCTGTGATGCAGATTCTCTCTTTAGTCTTTCTCGTTCTAAACATCGTGTATGGTATAATTCTTTTGCCTGCATTCCAGACACAATTTCAAATTAGCTATTTTCTTAGGTGAAGTTTGAGAAATTATGAATACAATAACATTTGAAAAAAACAAATTACAAGTTACTAAATTTCTGATTGGAGGAACAAGTTGTAAGTTTTTGCTTTTTTAATGCATTTAACAGCAACTGAATAGTTACGTCCAATAGAAAATTCACTTCAATTTATCTGAACACACTTGGCTGTATATATCTAGACAGGATGTAAAACGTACTTTATGTAATGATGTGGTGATCTGTTGTATGGAATGAACAATTTCTTGTGTTCCTGATTCGCTCTCTTTCATCTAAAAGTAAAGGTTGTAAAAAGAAACATTCAAACAAGAAAAGGTCATCATTAAAATATCAGATAAGAAGATTAATTTATTCACGACCAAAGATCATCATTTCTTGTAAAACATCAACAATAATCAAAATTTTCATGTATCATGATTTTTGATCATCTTCTCCTCCCTCTCTTTTTTTGTTCAATTTACTGCTATAAAATCGAAGTTGCATATAATCAGAGGTTATTGACAATACACACACATGCAGTTGTACTTCAAATGGACGTATTTCTACCCTTTAATTACTTATGATATGGCATGGACAAATCACCTACATTTTTGTGTCGTTTGTGTTGGTCTTCATTGTAGCGGGCGACATCCTTAATAAGGTCTGTCCAGCTATGTAAAAGCTGTGTGTGTAGAGTGGCTAGTTTCTCCGCGAGAATCTTCAACACGGTCCAGAATGGGGCGAATGTGCTGTAATCACATGTATATACATGTACGTCAATCTAGTAAAAAATCCTACGGTTAATATATTAAACCTCAGAGTTCAAAGATTTGATTTCTTTTATTGATGAAAAGGCAATATTAAGTGAATGGTCTATCAAGACTCTGTACCATCATTGAATGTAATTTACATCTTAGTTGACTGTTTCACATTTCCTTAATTTTGACAAACAATACTGACAACAAAAGTATTATAAAATGACAATGACTTACTATATCATTTCAGGATAAATCGGTGACATTTATACACATAAATAATTAAAAAAGACATAAGGGCATAATCTGGAAGTATGTGTTGTATGGGAGGTGCAAATGTGAAATACTACAGAAATTGGTTTCTACATTGATGTACAACAACTTGTCTATGATATTATTCTAAAGTAATGGACTTGTTTTGTGACTGGTATTCTAAAGTAATGGACTTGTTTTGTGACTGGTAATGTATCTAGCTGTGTTATACATGTGTCTAATAGGTATGAGGTAGGTAAATATGCTGTCTGAGGATAATAATTATACTTTCACAATTAGTATCTGATTAATTCAAGTATTCTGAGGAATAATATATTTTCATAATCAAAATTGAAAGATGTAAAAGAAAGAGATTACTCATGAATGCCTCCTTTTGAGTCCCTGGTGAATAAAACACATGGAAAACTGTCAGGATATTAAAGTATATAATATTTAATATTTAATTCAAATTGTAGCTGTATCCCAAAATATCCAAAGATTAAATATTTTATATCAAATGATATACACTTTAAAATGGTACTGTAAATATGTACATGTGACAAACACTTATTATAGGAAATTTTCATTTTTCAAAAACCTGATGCACATTATACACAAGAACAATGCACTTTCATGAAAGGTCAAGGTCAACAAAAATTGTTTATGTATTTTAGCCAATGCCTTTCTATATAAAAGATGATTGTTTAATGATGCTGTCAAAGCCATAAAAACACAATGATTCATCTTTCCTTATTTGATGTGTTCTGGTTTCATCTCGATGAATTATGGAACATAGAAATTAATTGCTTTAAGTCACTTTAACAATGCAGATATTTCCTTAAACAAAAGCAATAGATCTGTCGTAGAATTGTAGCACTGCATCATACAATCAGTAAACAAATGTCCATTCATAAGTGGTAGTAAGCTTGCTGTATTATTACTCCATCCAAATTATGCATAACAAATTGTAAATCATTAAAATTACACAGTGTTAAAAAATTTAATGTTGAGAAATGTTGATGGGAGTTTTAAACCATGAGAGTGGCATCGTTATTGCAGAAACATGTCAAATCGTCCTACTTTTTGCGTCCAGGACAAGTCCATCATCAGGGTAAAACAGTGTTGTTGTTTTACATTATGACATAGTCCCGATTGAGGCACGAAATGAAAGTTTAATCAATTCCAGTATTACAACATTCTTTGATGTAAGATGCTAGGTATTTCATCATTTTAAATTGTTTTTGAGACGTGTATCCTTTACTTATCATACCAAAATCTCTGATATCGAAGAAATCAAGTATCAGTAGGTTTTTCTGGCATAGACTTGGTCTTAATTTCCGTTGATCACCAAAATTTCTAATATTGCAGCTCTTAAAGTCATAACAGATCGCAGACAAGGTGTATAAAGTTATTTAGAGTCTACCTTGTTCTATTCAATGAAAACATTGTTTTCTGATCAGGAGACAATTAGTTTTATCCAGCCCAGTATCTGCACTAGGTGGCAAAATTTACACTTCCAAGAAATTTAAAAGAAAGAAATTCCTAAAATATCTCTGTGTATTATCCACGAATACGCACAATATTTACAGTAGATCTATTATAGTACATCTACTTTTCTGTAATGCAGTTAGAATTAAAGAACCTTGTCTTAATAAAGTGTTTAATCTTCAATCCAACTCATATTGGATCTTGGACCTTGGATGTCTGAAGGTATACATACAAAGACAATGTCCTTTGGTGGTCACTTTTTGTAGTACATATCTTGTACTATTGTTTATTTACACTGTATCCATAAACAAATGGTACAGATGTATTGTTGGATATATAAGTGGTCTGTCATGACTTACCCAACCTGGGTGCTGGAGGCAGCTGTTCTCGCTAGCTTGTTAAGTAGAGTGCTGTAACTTTCCTCTACCTTACAGCTGTCAAGTGAAAGCAATAAATATTTTATTCAATATGATAATTTTGTAGTTCTATAATTACTTCAGTTAAAGGAGACATTTCAAAAGGTTGATAACCATGATCATAAGAAAATGAAATAGAACATTTGTATAACTGCACAGTGAAGATGAAAAAATAACTAACATACCTTTCCCTAAGGAAATCAATGAATTCTTTTGATGCAGTTTGGCCATGTTTCATGTTATGGTATAACACAAAAAAGCCATTGTTCTTCTCTCCCTGGAAAGATAAAATAAAACTTTACTACATGGAACAGAAGTCTTAAAACATAAACATCGAACGAGTGTGACGTTTTGACGACTACATGGTCACCTTCATCAGACAAATGACCAGTGTGGAATGTACTAGAACAAAATCGCATCCACATTGCCATGAAAACATGGATACTCTGATTTGGCAATCCAGAAAGTCAACAAGGAATATGATGCAAGAAAAAAAAAAAGAGAGACAAAACACAGAGGAAAAGAACGAAATAAAAGGACAAGTTGTCATCCCTTACATCAAAGGCCTGCCTAAGACCATTCAGAGGATTTACAGTGGTCATGTCATTGCAGCAGCCTTGAAACCTAACAAGACACTCTGAATTATTCCAGTCCATCCTAAGGATAAAACACCCAAAGAAAATGTCACAAAATGTGTACACAAAATCAAAGGCACGAACTCAGATGCATCATATATTGGAGAAACCGGCAGGAGATTTGGGCTCCGATTCAATGAACATCAGAAAGACGCAAATCCCAAGAAGCCAAAAAATTATATAGATTAGAGCAAAAACACTCACATTCCCAGATCAATAAATCTGCATAGGGTAAACAACCATTTCAGATGGTTGGTTAAGGAAGCCATCTTGATTCACCGCAGCAGATCAGTACTTAATAGGGATGAGGGGGGCCACAGACTCTTACACATCTATGACTAGGTGTTAAACAAAGTGTAGCCGAACTGGCTACAGTGCATTGTTACCATCTGGTGTATTGTTTTTGTCTATAATATGTTAACCATCTTGCCACACTATTTTCAACCTTAGTGTACATAGGATTGTAGTACAGTCGAAAAAGTTAGTCAAATCTGTACCATCTTGTACACTGGTCATTTGTCTGATGAAGGTGACTGTGTGTCATCAAAATGTCCCACTCTAATCTTATATTGGTTGTGTTATAAGAACTTCTATTCTATTGACATTACCATCCTGAAGAAAATGTTAATATGATTTAAATTCTCTAATTTCTGTTAACAACCAGTCATGTTTTGTCTTCTCCATCATAAATTCTGCATTATACCAAAAGCCATCATTTTGCATGATATTGAAATTAACTGGGAAATACAGGAATATAACAATATAATCAGATATGATTCAATTCATGTTGTGGGGCTAATGTACATGCATTTCATCAACTTTAACAAATCTAATGAAATAAACTTTCCATGAAGCTTCTTGGTAATTTTGAAATCTGAATTCACAAATTATATTAGGAAGGTTGCAGTGGTATCCATCTTGGATTAACTTGAAAACCTGAAATCTAAAAATTTTTGGGAATGATCAGAACTATTTATCATTTATCTGTTTTCCATGTCAAATCTCAACTTAAATCAAGTATACTTGTTCCTGATTCTAATGTTTGTGTACACATTTTGTTAGTCCCATTACCGTGTCACCTTACAACCTGAGGCTGAACAGGCCTTAGTTTTCAATTAAATATCCAGTTTGCTACCATCAGTTCTAATGTATAATGAAAGATAGATTGACAACAGTCAGAGTGACACCTGGATCCTAGTTAGTCACAGACCAGGGCTAGACAGATAAAGTATAAAGCAAGTAGATTTCTATTTTATGCTAGTGCATTCATTAAAAGTAAATGAATAATGAATCATATTTGCAAATTATAAATCTTTAAAATTGATGTGCACAGTAAAAACATATAATTTAATAATGAATAAAACATGTTGACACCTCCAATTACGTCTAGCTGATATCCCAAAACTCATGTTCCATACTGAATGTCAAGTTTGACCATTCAAGTTGTTCTGGTATTGCCTGTAAATATTGTGCTAATAATTCATATTGCTCATAACAAACTAAAAAACAAGGCATTCATTGTTTGTGATAATGGAAGTGCATTGACAGCAGTGATAAAGAGTGTAAACACATGTTTGCTGTGAAATGAAAAGTTCTTAAGCACATGGTTTACTTTTCTGCATTTGCATATAAATATCTATCACAATTCATTCCTCCCCACCACCTTTACACTACACGATTACTTGTCAACTTCAATTTATTTAAGCATGGGGAACTGCTTCCCTATTCCTATGGCAGTTTCAATGTTTCAAATCATCCTATTGACAAACTGAACTAATTCTTCTATCCTGAATCCTCAGATTATCCTTGCACTATTCAACAATTCTTTGTTTTGTACTTGATTAGTTCTTTTTATAAGGACCTGTACCACACCTGTTAATGAAGAATTTGAGAAAAAGACATAGGAAAAAAAGGAAAGAAAACTTCACCAAGATTTCCCTTTAATATTTCAATAAGAAAGAAGTTATTATTTATAATGTATTTTTCATGTGAACTATACGCTTCCTAACACACAGTTTCATAAATAACTATATTGTAAAGTATTGATATTTTCCTATCAAAACTGTGAATGATGTTACCAATTGGAAGCAACATGAAGATGTCCAATACCGACAACAGATCAATCGCAATCAGCTGCCATGGGATATTGCAGATCATAACAAACATGAACTCAATCGGTATATCGGTATATTACAGGTATTTGTTTATATTGGATCAATGACTGCTCAAAAATTAAAACGAACATCATAAAGCCGAACATATTCGACCAAACATTCAGATTATGTTGTTTTGAATTCGAACTTCTCTTGATTGCGACAACCTGCATTTGGTACCCAATTATACGAATTAATAGGTTACTTTAGATACATCAACAAACAACATTTTTAAATAGCGATGTCCGAAAGATTGAAAATCAATTTAAGGTTTTATTTTATTCCGTTTGGTTAAAATTCAACACTAGACATCGTTTGCATGCTGACAGTTAATCGCCACACCGACACTTGACAGGATGAGGGTACACCCCCTTTTTCAAACGGCTAACATTTGCGATTGCAATACTCGACAGCCAAATAAACTGCTTTCTCAAGGAGATGCATAACTATTAATATGAAAATCCAAATGCCATACCCAGAAGTGATCTGCAAATGTCGTCATCCTGGACTTATTAAATTCATCTGGAGAGATACAGAAAATGGCGATTTATTTTGATGTAGCGCACATGCGCATTGAACATTGAAATGAGGTCAACTGAACGCTTGTAAACAGCCAACTTTTTCATGCGGAACGTGGCAATAGTTTACCTTAACAAATCGGAAGGTATATTCCGCGAAAGTTTCAAAGGAAGCACAGGTAGGCCCAGTCTTCCTTTCCTTGTCTAAACATATTAAAGTGCTTGAAAAACACAAACTGATCAAAATTAGTTTTAACAATATGGAGGGTATGATGAAATATAAAAGCGAGATTGTCTGGAAATGACTGTAAAAAAGAAAGGTTGCCCCAAAAATGACAATCATGCAAATTGTGGTAATGAAACCAGACAAATAGGCCTACCAAGCCAAAGTGTACCAAATATGTTAATCAAAGTATCTTAGTACGCAGGTACACCAATATAACAATATAATGTCTTGTTCGAAGGATTTAGACTTATTGTTGATCGCAAAAGAGACAAAAAATGTCTAAACATTAGTTCTGGACAGCAATGTGTTGCAGAGTGGCCATTTAGCTGAGCTTTATCATGTGAACTATTGATGTGTGTCACTAGTCATACCCCATTGATTTTGAATGCTGATTAAATTCATTCACCATTGAATATTATGAGTATATGTTACATTGACTGACAAGTATTTGTACTTTTTCTCAGTATACTTTTACATGTTGAAGTAAAACATCATTCTACATATGATGAAATAATGTATCAATCCATTTTCTAATGGCAGTGTTTTCTGGTTGTTTGTTATGTAAATAAAAATTAAATCAGTATGGAATTTTGCTCTGATTCATACCAGGTACAGGTTTGCAGTCTTTCTGAAATCCCAACACAGTTTGGGGAATTAGATAAAGACATCTGAGTGGGATCATACTGTTCATTTATATTAGTTTTATCCTTATTTAATATATTTCTTCAGATGAAAATTACAACAATGTTCTTGATAAAATTTCAGCTAGGTTACATTTAAGTGATTAATAGTATTATCAAAGTAGCTTTAGGTATGATCAGATTTGAATATCTATTGTTAATTTACAACTTTTGATATATGTTTCAAGTATTAACACATGCTTAAGTGCATGTCTAGTAGAACATTGGCACAATGGCAGGATGAGTAAAGGCAGCAAGATCTTGGAGTACCTGGAAACAGGTAAAACAGGATTCACACAAAAATAGGTTGCTGAATTTAAAGAAATGTGTAAATACTTAATATTGTTGAGTGCTGTTTTTGTATTATAAAATTCCAAACATGAACTTAGAAGTCATTTGCACTGAAAGTGTTCAGCCAGCAGATGAATTTGTTGATGTAACAAGTTGGTGAGGTGACTTAGTAAAGCTGAAGTAATATTGAAGTGGACATAAAACATGGCATCTGGTGATTCCAAACAACCCTGTTATTAATGAATTAGAAGATTGTTATTTATGACTTTAAAACATGTCTGTTAAATTTGATGTTATTAAAAGAATGAAAACCAGGATATGGACCTAGGAGGTGCAGGAAACTCGAACAAGGGTGCTGGAACTAGTGACCACCCTTACCAACCTTAAGATACTTTACAAGATACAAAATATACTAAAAGGATAAAGAAACGCAGGGTGAACTTTAAACCAGAAATTAAGTATGATATCGGGCTTCATTTAAAACAAAATTTTGTATACTTACAGATAAATTAAAGCTTAAAAATTTCCAAAGTCTGTATTTTGCATCTGACTATTGGTTTAGAGGTACTAACGATTAAATTGAATGGACCCATAGGATTTTGAAATTGAAATTGAACTGAGTCATCAATATCTTGTGTGTCCGCCGTTTGCTGTGGTCACGGCCCTTATTCTTCTGGTCAAAGAGTTCATGAGAGCGTTAATCCGTCTTATGGGGATGTTGTCCCACTCTTCAATCAGAGCTCTGGTCAACTGCTCTCCAGTAGCAGGGGGTGGCTGGCACTTTCGAACCTGTCTATCCAACTGGTCCCAAAGATGCTCGATCGGGGACAAATCAGGGCTATATGGCGGCCAATCTAGTGGTTGAATGTTGTTGTTGGCCAGAAAGACTTGGCTAATCCTTGCTACATGGGGCCTAGCATTATCCTGCTGGAGGGTTAGATTATGCTGCTGTAAGAAAGGGATAACATGGGGTCGGAGGATCTCATCTCTATATTTAGCTGCTGTTAAATTGCCATCAATAACAACCAATTGTGATTTTAACCCGTGTGAGATTCCTCCCCACACTATTACTGAACTGCCCCCAAACCTATCCCTCTCGACAACGCAAGCGTCCGTAAAACGTTCGCCATGACGACGTCAGTAGACACATTGACAGCCATCAGATCGATAAAGACAGAATCGAGACTCGTCCGTGAAGAAAACTTGTCTCCACTGCCTCAGTGGAAACCGTAGTGGAGCATGTGCAGCGACCCAGGCCATACAACGCTGACGTCGAGCAGGGGTAAGGTGTGGACCTACGTAGGGGCGATGTGCTCTTACACCAACTTTTCGTAATCGGTTCCTTACAGTTTGTGAACTTATAGGACGCCCATGATTTCCACGAACATTAAGTGCACTCTCAACGGCAGTAAGGCGCCGATTACGCACATGAGAGACGACGATATAGCGATCCTGATGTCGTGACGTTACGCGTGGATGTCCTGACCTAGGTCGATTGGCCAGTCATCCAGTTTCCTGAAGACGTCTTTCAAGATGTTTTATGGTAGAAACATTAACACCAAAGTGCCTGGCAACCTGATTTTGCAGCTGTCCTTGCATCAGCATCTGAATGGCCTGACCCCTCTGAACTTCTGTGAGTCGTGCCATTCTTAAAATGAACCAAATTCTCAATTAATTTTAGGGAAGCAGTTGGTCTGTATAAAGACTAACGAAGAGTGACTTGACCAACACTGCATGAGACCAGAACAACACGGTGCATGAGATTCTTTTTTTTTCCTTCCTCCGTTTACCAGAGCTGCGCACTGTACCGTGACTAAATTTTCGATACATGACAAGGTGTAATATGACCTAATTACTCAATCCACAAAGTTTCACTTTATTTGGAGAACGTGTTTTCAAAATATCGGAATAAATATTACCCTGCGTTTCTTTATCCTTTCAGTATAGTTGTATATCTTGCAATCTAATGTTAACATTCACTTAATATGAAAGACCATTTAAACAGTGAAATTACCATTTATGAAGGCCACTGGATGTAAATAATCATGTAAAAATCAAAGGAAAGCAAAAATATGTTTTAATTTTAGCTCACCTGGTCTGAAGGACTGGTGAGTTTATGTCAGGGTAAGGCGTTCATTGTCTGTCATCTGTTGTCCAGGAGCCGTCTACTTTTTACTAAAAATTGCTACTAGTCATGAACGATTGAACAAATTTTGACAAAATTTGGTTAGAAGCATCCTTGGGGAGAGGGGAACCACGCTTCTATCAAAATTGGTCCCAGGTCCCAAGGGACAGGAGGGGCATGCCCAAAATGGAAAATTTTACAAGTTCTTTAAAATCCTACTCCTGTAGGAATGAATGGATATTGCCCAAATTTGGTCTGAATCATTCTTAGGTGAAGGGGAATCAATGTTAGGTGTCTGTCCCCTTGGCCTGGTCCCATTTCAGGAAATAGAGTAAATTCTTTAAAATCCTATTCCTTTTGTAGGAATGAATATGTACTGCCCATACCATATTTAGTCTGAGATATTCTTTGGTGAAGGGGAATCGGTGGATCTAATTGGCGAAATAGATCAAATTCCTTCAAATACTACTTCTCTATTAGGAATAATCGGATATTGCGTAAATTTGGTCAGAAGTGTCCTTGGGTGAAGGGGAACAAAGGTTGTGTAAGGATTAGTTCTCAGCAACCAGAGGCATTAGGGATGTGACCCAATAAGGGAAAAAGAGCAATCTCCTGTAGCAATGATTGGATTTTACCCAAATTTGGTCTGAAGTATTATTAGGTGAAGGGAAATTCAGTTCTGTATAAATGGTGCATCCTGACCCTATAAGCCGGGATGGGTGGGACTAATTGGAGAAATGTAAGTTTTTGAAATAATCCTTCCATACAAGGATATTGTTGAAGTTGGTCAAAACAGTTTTTAGTTCTCCTGGCCTGAAGGTTCTGAGAAAAAAAAATGAAATCACCCAAGAATGCTTCAGATCAAATTTGGGTGAAGACCAACCAAGTGGTTGTTTTCAGCCCCCTTTGCATGAGGGGTGGGGCCCAATGGTGGAAATAGTGCAAATTCAATAAAATCTTATTCCTCCTGTAAAAATTGATGGATTTTGCCCAGATTTAGTCTGAAGCATATTGGAGGGTAGAGCCAAATAGTGGAAAAAGTGCAAATTCAATAAATTCCTACTCCACCTGTAGGAAGGGGATTTGATTTTCTCCAGATTTAGTCTGACCATCGTTGGATGAAACAAAATCAGTTTTGTACAAATGGTAGGTCTCAGCCTGCTAAGGCTGGAGATATCACCCAAATTTGGTCAAAAGTTTATTGAGCAAATGTACCTGGTATGTTTGAAAAATATTTGAAATTCTTTATTAAATGGCTGAATAGCTAAATTAGCAGAGGTGAGCGATGCAGGCTCATTGGGCCTCTTGTTATGAATAGTGAATCTAACTTCTGTTTACCACAAGAGCGGGACTCAATAGGGAAATTATATAAGAAATTGATTGTCATATTTGAAATTCTTTATTGAATGGCTGAATAGCTAAATTAGCCAGGTGAATGATGCAGGCCCCTTGAACATCTTGATTTTTTGGGTTTTTTTTATTGTTGTCCTGTATTGGATGTCATCCCAGTAATTGCAAATATAGTCCAATAGAATTTAAATTAAAGATCTACTTGGTGAAATCACATAGAAAATGAGGTTAGACCAGACATGCTGGTGACAAAGCAATTTTGTTTGTAGTTCCATGCATATTTAAGTATACCATAATTAATCCAATACCTGAAATATGACATTGATGTCAT